GAAAGGGTCTGCTGCAAGCCGATCTATGGTCGGAACTTTTCTCTCTCCCCTTACATGCCTTCCTAACCTCACCTTACTCTAAAACACTCTACAACCGTAAGGAACCCACGCCCACTCCCGTCTGCCCACTTGCTATCTTTCCTCCAACAACAGAGGAACCGAAAGCAGGGGTAGGCGAGGGCCGACTGACGTCCTAGGTGTCCTTCCTTCCAGTTAAGACCCCGCTGGTCTCGGCACCTTTGCGAACCCCTCACCTCTGCCGCTAGGTGTCGTGCTACACAGCCTTTAGATGGCTCGCTGGTAAACGGCATCTCCCAAAAGATGCAGCCGGCACTTGGGGCCTGAGAAGCAACGCGATGCCCAGCAACGCGATCGGTGCTCTCCCTTCGCCTCTTGCGGCGTATAAATACAGCTACGGGCAAGAAGACACAGGCCAATTTTCGAAGACTACGCACGGACTTGGAACAAAAAAAACCGCCAGGCTCCGGCGGAAGAAGGCGGAGCCGGGTGACATCACGCGGCGTCGGCCCCGAGACCGCCCGGCGCTGGGCGTGTCTGAGCCGTTGTGACCCAAGGCTTCGCCCCGCCCCCGGTGACGTCACGGCAGCCCGAAGCTCTAGTATCTCCGCGGCCGCGTTCCCGACCGCCGGGCGCGGTGGCGCACGCCTGTAGTCCCAGCTACTCGGGAGGCTGAGACAGGAGGATCGCTTGAGTCCAGGAGTTCTGGGCTGTAGTGCGCTATGCCGATCGGGTGTCCGCACTAAGTTCGGCATCAATATGGTGACCTCCCGGGAGCGGGGGACCACCAGGTTGCCTAAGGAGGGGTGAACCGGCCCAGGTCGGAAACGGAGCAGGTCAAAACTCCCGTGCTGATCAGTAGTGGGATCGCGCCTGTGAATAGCCACTGCACTCCAGCCTGGGCAACATAGCGAGACCCCGTCTCTTTTGAGTTCTACCACTGCGGTTTTTTTTGTTTGTTTTAAATGGCATTTCGCTCTCTAACGTTAAGAAAATTCGGATAAATTATCTTTTTAGGTTTCAAAGAAATTGGCTTAACACGAAGTTTAAAAATATATACTGCCATTTTTTTTCTAACTTAAATCTCTGGCTTCCTCATTCCCACTCTTTCCCCGTCTATTCACCGGTTTTCTATTTCCTTTGGGGTTAAAACTTAACAGGTTCGCTCAAGATTTTCAGGGACTTGTAGCCTCTCACTACTGACTCCTACCGGAGGATAGTCAAAACATATCCCAAAACAGATGTTATTACCCAAGGAACCAGCAGGGGCTGCTAGTTGGTTTAAAAGGGCTGGAGAAAAACCGCCGTCTGCTAAAAAGTGCTTTCCCAAGCAGCTCACAAAGCTGAGTTGCAGCTTAGTGGCAAGTGATAAATTTAGCTGTCTGTGTTCCCGCGTTCAGTCCTTAGCTGGAAATTTTCCTGTTATGTCTTCCGAGCTTTTTTTTTTTTAAATGCATGCCTCTGCATCCATTTGTGATATGTCTTATTGCAGATGAATACAGAATGACTTTTTTTTTTTTTTTTTGGTTTTTCGAGACAGGGTTTCTCTGCGTAGCTTTGCGCCTTTCCTGGAGCTCACTTGGTAGCCCAGGCTGGCCTCGAACTCACAGAGATCCGCCTGGCTCTGCCTCCCGAGTGCTGGGATTAAAGGCGTGCGCCACCACCGCCCGGCCAGAATGACTTTTAACAACTTGGACGCCATGCCTAAGGATGTAGCCCAAGGTAGTCCTAACTTAGAATGCATAAGGTCTGGCCTCTATCCTTATCACTGCAAAAGAACAGAAGGAATTTAAGTCATACATATTTACTAGATGGAAACAGCAGAGATGCCAAATATTAAAAACAACAACAATAAACATACTGTCTCCCTACTACAAAAACAGAGACAAAACAATTTTGGTATATCTCATTCTGGTTTTTGTTTTTTGGGTTTTTTCCTCCTCTTCTAAATAGGTGCCTGAATTTGAGCCATAGCAGCTTAGCTGTGCCTATAAGTACCACATCAGAGTAGCTAGCTTCCTTCTTAGCCCTGGAATTCTTACCCTCTTAGTCCTTTCTGAGACTTTTAGAAGAATTTCTCAGCTTTGTGGAACCTAAGAGTGAGAGAGAGGTGGCATAATTCCTCTCTCCTCAAAAGGTGTCTGTATGCTAACATCTGGAAACGGCCATACAGACACTGGAGGGATAAAAAGACTTCATAGATTCCTGTAACTTTGGGGTCATGAGGTAGAAAGGTTATTCTGATGGAGCCAAATATAATCCAAGGGTCCTTATGTGAAGACAAAAGTGCCAGAATTACGGAACGAGATAAACCTGGAAGCAGAGATCAAAGCCATTCAGGATCACCGAGGAAAGAATATGGCAACTTTGGGAGCTGTGAGAGAAAATGCAGGGGATTTTCCTGAGACACCCCCCCAACACACACACACACTCACTCACTCACTCACACAGATGGGGAGGTGCAGCTCTTCAGACCCCTTTGGGACCTCTGACCCTCAGAACGCTCAGAGAATAAACTCGTGTTATGGGGTGGAGAAAGCCTCAAGTGAGCATGGGTGGTTGACATAGGCACAGCCATGGGGAGGACTCCAAAGCCCCCCATTAACCCGTGGAGGAATGGCAGAGCCTTCCCCTAGGGCGAGGTTCAGAGGCATGGCAGTCTTCCTCTGGTCCAAGTATGGATGTTGGCAGTGTGTGCAGAATATGTCCACCATAGCTTTTTCCCTCTATGTATTTACAGCCTGAAGACTACTCCTCTACAGAGACTGCTCCTACTGAGACGAGCTAAATCTGTCTCCTTGATCCAGCTGTAGACCGTAAACGCTGCCTCCTTGTTCAACTGTATACAATAACCCACCTCTCTGTTCAACTCTAGTTAATTAACATGCTGAGCTCAGGGCAGGGGCTGGCGTTTCTCCAGCAGAGAGCCCTGGCCATTTGATCCCAGCTTTCTGCCTGTGTGTCTGTCTTTTTCTTCATTCTCTTACTGCCCTAGTCAGACCCATCCCTGGATGCTGCACATGGACAAGGCCTTGCATTCTTTCCATCTCTACACTTGTGGCTGTTACAACAGTAACAGAAGCCATTTACAGAGGGAGTGAAGCTTCATGGGTATGCAAAAAAACCAAATCAAACAAACAAACAAACAAAACACACACACAAACAAACAAAAACCCCGAGAGCTGAAGAGATTCTTGTCTGTTGCTCTCTTCTGTAACATGCCTGTATTTTATTTTAAATATATTATGTTGGTCACTTTTTTTGTCAGTTCTTTCCCCCAGGCCTATGTCTCTGTGTTTTGGCCATACACTGAACCTTCTAATTGTATTTAGGACAGAAAAAAAAATTTGATGCTCATTACAAAATGCTGTGATATGGATAGGGTTTGAGTGCTGGGATCTTGGTGACTGGCGAAGTGGTGTGGAGGTGACAGAATCTTTAATAGTTGGGGCTTAGATATTACCAGGTGGGTGGGCAGTTAGAACACTGGGGTCCCTGTTTCTCTGGAGAAAACAGTTTCACTCCCATGAAAGAAAACTGTCATAAAAAGCAGCCTGGCCAGGTGTGGTGGTGCACACCTTTAATCTCAGTACTCAGGAGGCAGAGGCAAGAGGATCTCTGTGAGTTCCAGACCAGCCTGGTCTACAGAGCGAGTTCCAGGACAGCCTGAGCTACACAGAAAAACCCTGTCTCAAAAAACAAAACAAGAAGAGGAGGAGGAGAAGAAGAAAAGAGCAGCAGCAGCAGCAACAACAGCAGCAGCAGCCTGGCCTCTTGAGTCCCTGCTGCGTCCTGTCTCACCTTGTAACTGTCCCCTCTCTCGCACATGTGATGCAGCCTGACAGCCCTCGTTAAATTTGAAACAGACAAGACCACTGGATCTCAGATTTCTAGCTTTCAAAATTGTGAAGTAAGTAAACTATGAATCGTCTAACCTTTGGCATTTTGTTACAGCAACTGCAAACAGATCAAGACATTTGCCAAGATGAAAGGCTTATGATCTGGGCATGGCAGTATGTACCTGTATTTCCAAAACCAAGGAGACTCGGTGAGGGAGTCTGAGGCCACCCTAGGTTATATGGTGTGTTTAGACCAGCCTTGACAGTACACTGTCTCAAAAAACTCCAAATAATAATTACAAAAATCCTTATGTATTTAGATACACTAATCTGACTCTTTTCTTGCTTTTGGTGTTTTGTTCTACAGGGTCTCACCCATTGGTCATTTGAATGCTTATTTTTAACTTCTAAGTACACATATCACTGGTCTAAAGTTTGCCCGCTTTGCTAAGAGTGTTGGTAATTTCAGCTGAGGCAAGAGCATAGAGAATTCTAAGGCAGCCTGGACTACATGTCAAGACCCTGTCTCAAAAACAACCACACACACACACACACACACACACACACACACACACACCACGCACACACATCCTTCACTGTCCAAAACTAATAGATTTTTGTTCTTAGTTTTAAATTTGTTTATTACTAATACTAGAACTTAAAAAAAAATAGACTAATTAATTAGCATATATTTGGACCCGGAATAATTCATGAATCAGTAGCGCGCAGAACCAGAAGATCAGAGAACGCTGGGATGTGGGCGAGGAGTAATTCTCCTCCTCCCACAGGAACTCACGCTTTATTTTTATCTGACATCTTAGCTAAATTCTTGAATATTTGAGGTGGTAAGAATTTATGGAACTCGGGCTGTATAGCACACCCACCACATTCAAGCTGAATGCGAATCCTGCAGGACGCTGCAGAATCCTACTTCGGATCCTACCCATCCAAAGAGGAACCCCTCTCTAGGGATGCGGAAATGCCAACAGTGCGGGTTTTCTCTGGGTTCAGAATCGCGTGCGGGAAGTGCCCTTGCTCTTCCACGCTGAGCGCCAGCGCCCTCCAGGGGAAATTCACCATGCACTCGCTTCAAAATTGTCACTGACCAGCAGTGCCATTGTGGAGGTCGACTTGAAGCCCCAAACGCAAAGAGGCAGTGCTAATCCTGCCAATGTTCAAGGAAGGGACGCGGTTTCGAGAAGGTAATTGGCCCTATTTCGAGTTGTTTTAATACAGTGGAAAAAAACCAAACCAAAACAAAACCGAGCTGATCATGATTGAACCGAGAGTCCCAGTGACATGACGCACTTTCGCTTCAAGAAATAGTGGGTCGTCTGGGCTGCCGTAGAGACGAGCCAAGCACGCGTGCGCAGAAGCCAGGCGGCCGTGCGTCGGGTCAGCAGCCGGGAGGACTGCGGTGGCGACCCGGACCCGAGCCATGAAGAGCCGCTTCAGCACCGTTGATCTCCGCGCGGTGCTCGCGGAGCTGAATGCCAGGTACGGTGGTACCGGGTGTGCAGGCTCGCGCGAGGCGCGCGGGAAGCAGACGCCGGGCACCCGGGTGGCCGCGAGGCGGGCCCGGGATCCCCGCGGCCGGCCCCGCGCCCCGGGGATTGGTGAGGCCTGGGGGGGCCGACCTCCGGGGCCGGAGCCCTCGGGGGACCCCCGGGGACGTGTGCCCGCCTGCAGCCTGTCCCCAGCGCTGCTCCAGCGGCATCCTGCCGGGTCGATCTGATAAACACTGGAGGTGCCAGACGGATGGCCATGGCCCCGGACTGGCGGCCTGGCTTCTTCGGAAATCCCGTCCTTCCGTCCCAAAGAGGGGGACCCGTGCCGTCCCCCCCCTTCCCCCCAGCTGTAATTCGCAGTTTTGGACCTGGATGCTGAACTTGTCTTTTACTGTATGAGCTTTGTCATATTTTCGTGGGGCTCGGCTACTCCTCACTCGTAATAAATCAGTGAGATTAAGTTTTACTGTATTTCCCCCAAAGTCCTGGGCTGTTCCAGACGAAGGCAGTTATCTGGTGTTCCTGAGGCCAACAGACCATTTTTGTGCCTAACTATCCATAGGTAATTTGGATGATAACCTTAGTAGGTGGTCCTGATATCCTACTGAAGAGTTCCCCTTACTCGACCTTAATAAATGACGGAAAGTTTTGCTTCAAACAAGAACGTGATTTTGTTATTTGTTTCTTTTTATCTTTGCAGCTTGCTAGGAATGAGAGTAAACAATGTTTATGATGTGGATAACAAGACATATCTTATTCGGCTTCAAAAGTAAGGATATTTTATAGACTTACTTTTGGTAAATAAATGACATTCTTGTTGGTTTTTAACCTGCATTTTAGGTTTTTATTTTTCCAGAGAGTAAGCTTTGGCAATTCTCTAAAGAAAAATTTGACTTTCTCTTGAACAGACCTGATTTTAAAGCTACATTGTTACTTGAATCTGGTATACGTATTCACACAACAGAATTTGAGTGGCCAAAGAACATGATGCCATCTAGTTTTGCCATGAAGGTAAATTTTAAGTTTGAAGTTAATTTTTACAACTACATTTATGTATTTGTTTGTGTGTAAGTATGTGTACCTAGGTGGAAACAACAGACAGGCACAAGTTGGGGCTCTCAAGTGAATGGCAGGACAACTTGCGGGGAGTCAGTTCTCCTGGTATACGGTGAGGGGAGGGGGGTAAGATCCAACTCAGATCCTCAAAGCTGGTATGCTTTTTCTGTCCCACCTGCCAGCTCCCAAATAACCACATGGAGACTTCTTACAATGAAAGCTCAGCTGATAGCTTAGGTTTGTTCTTAACTAGCTCTTATAACTCAAATTAACCCATATTTTTATTAATCTATGTTCGAACATGTGGCTTTTACCTCTATCCTATTTATGTGTCCCACTCATTTCGAGGCTCTCTGGCTTCTACATCCTTCTTCCCAGCATTCTCTCTGCCCTGAAAATCCTGCCTAGCTCTTGGCTGTTTAGCTTTTATTTAAACCAGTCACAGTGACATATCTTCACACAGTGTGTTCTGGCCTGGAACTTGCTCTTTTTTGATGTTGTTTTCAAGACAGGGTTTCTCTGTGTGGCCCTGGCCTCAAACTTAGAGATCCATCTGCCTCGCCTCCCCTGCCCCCTGAGTGCTGGAACTAAAGGCATGTGGCACCATTCCCAGCTTGAAATTTGCTATATAGACCAGATTGGTTTCAAATTTAGAATGAGCTTTCTTTCTGTGCTAGGATTAAAGGAGTTTACCACCATGTGTCACTCTAAAAAAATTCTTAGGCCGGGCGGTGGTGGCGCACGCCTTTAATCCCAGCACTCGGGAGGCAGAGCCAGGCGGATTTCTGTGAGTTTGAGGCCAACCTGGGCTGCCAAGTGAGTTCCAGGAAAAGTGCAAAGCTACACAGAGAAACCCTGTCTCGAAAAAACAAAAAATAAAAAATAAAAAAATTCTTGAGCTGGGTTTGGTGGTAACCCCAATGTTCAAGGGGCTGAAGTACGATGGTTAGTCTGGGCTACTGGGTGACATTTTGCCACAAAAAAAAAAAAACAAAAAAAAACAAAAAAAAAAAACCAGAAAACAATAACAAACTCTTGGCAATCTGATGAGTTAAGTATGTTTGTGTACTTAAATGATAAGTTTTTTTTTTTTTCAAAAGAGCAGAAGGTATATTTTAGATAAATAAAGAGTTATTGGTATAGGACATAAGCAGGGTAATTCCTAGTGCATGGTAAGTCAGTGGTTGCCCTGGTTCTCATCATTATTCTAAAAAATAGAATACAGAACAACCATTTCAGTTAGAAGTTATTAGAATAAAGGCTTAAGGATTGTCCCACTCATGAGGGCCTGGCAGGATGGCTCAATGGACAGAAGCTACCAGCTTATTGACCTGAGTTTGATCCTTGGAGAGTGGAAGAGAACTCATTCGTGCAAGTTATTTACTGACCTCCACATGCACACTGTGGCATGCATATGTTACCACACATACCCCAAATAAATAAATAAATATGTAAAATTTTTTTCTTCTGATTATCATTTGTAAGCTTTTGTTTTATGACAATTCTGTTTTATTTACCATTTAAGTATTCTCAGTGGCATAAAAATAATTTTCATAAACTAGTACCAGGTAGTTAGGAATTTACATTTACTACATAAATGCTTTTTTTCTTCTGTTTCTTGCTAGTGTCGAAAACATTTGAAGAGTCGGAGATTAGTCAGTGCAAAACAGCTTGGTGTGGATAGAATTGTGGATTTCCAATTTGGAAGTGATGAAGCTGCTTATCATTTAATCATTGAGCTCTATGATAGGGTAAGTTAACTTGAGAGGAGTAAGAGAATAGAGCAATATGTCTTTTTTGTTTTTCATTCCTTTCATTCAGTGTTATGTTTAAGGTGTTCGTCATGTTCAGCACTATCGTTATAATTGATGATATTAAGAGTTATTTTAGCTGGGCGGTGGTGGCGCACGCCTTTAATCCCAGCACTCGGGAGGCAGAGCCAGGCGGATCTCTGTGAGTTCGAGGCCAGCCTGGGCTACCAAGTGAGTTCCAGGAAAGGCGCAAAGCTACACAGAGAAACCCTGTCTCGAAAAACCAAAAAAAAAAAAAAAGTTATTTTAGCCGGGTGGTGGTGTCACACGCCTGTAATCCCAGCACTCGGGAGGCAGAGGCAGGTGGATGGATCTCTGTGAGTTCGAGGCCAGCCTGGTCTACAGAGCTAGTCCAGGACAGGCTCCAAAGCTACAGAGAAACCCTGTCTCGGAAAAAAAAAAAAAAGAAAGAAAGAAAACAAACAAAAAAAAGAGTTATTTAATTCTACATCTTTGCTAATAGTCTTTTTATTTTTATTTTTTTATTTTTTTTAATTTTTTCAAGGCTGGGTTTCTTTGTGTAGCTCTGGCAGGCCTCAAACTCCCAGAAATCCACCTACTTCTACCTCCTGAGTGCTGGGATTAAACACACACACACACACACACACACACACACACACACACACACACACACTTTTTTAAACTTGGACATAACACTAAGTTCTTGTGTATTGTACACTTAGTTTTTACTAATGTTTTATAATATTTGTTAAACAGTGATACATAATGTTAATTGAATTATAGGCTGTCTTCATTCATAGTTTTTCTGTTCCAATGTATCATTGATTTTAGGGAGTTTCCATTTGAAGGATCTGAGCAAGGAGGTATGCATACTGTCTAGGTTCTAGAAATCCAATAAGTGGTGAATACTAAGAATTTATGTATGAGAGTGTGCGCTTGGAAATCTGTTTAGTCATTGTGGTATTTGTGAGAGGGAGTTGTTAAGAATATATTTTAAAGATTGCTCTTTCCTTTCTGTGGACCAGAATTTGACCTCCTAGCTTTCTTTCTTTCTTTTTTTTTTAAAAGATTTATTTATTTACTATGTATACAGTGTTCTGCCTGCATGCCAGAAGAGGGCGCCAGATCTCATTACAGATGGTTCTGAGCCACCATGTGGTTGCTGGCAGTTGAATTCAGGACCTCTGGAAGAGCAGTCAGTGCTCTTAACAGCTGAGCCATCTTTCCAGCCCCCTCGTAGCTTTCATGTCTGGAATTTTGAGGATTAGTGTTTCTAGGGTTGATTAGACTGTGTGTAAAGAGAATCACTGCAACTTAAGACCAACTTAAGAAACTGAGAAGTATAAATTTATGATAAATTTGGGCTGTTGAGATGGCTTAGGAGCTAAAAATGCGTGCCATGAAGCCAGAAGACCTGAGTTCATTCCCTGGAACCTGTATAAAGATGGAAGGAGAGAACCAACTCCACAGACCTGTCCTCTGACATTCACACACAGTGTGACACATTCATATGCCATCTCCACAACACACACAGCATATATATGTGTGTGTGTGTGTGTGTGTGTGTGTGTGTGTGTGTGCGCGCGCACACGCGCGCACGCGCGCATTTATACACACAAAAATACTAAAGATTCAAAACTTTTTAAAGTTATGATACATTTAGTGGGAGCAGTTCTGAGAAAAGTAACATACGATCAGAAAGTAGTGTAGGAGGGGAGGGATTATTTAATTAGTTTTTTAAATTTTGTAAAAAAGATTTTCAGTATTGGGGCAATGGTGGCACCTTTAATCCCAGCATTTGGGAGGCAGAGGCAGGCAGATATCGGAGTTTGATGCCAGCCTGGTCTACAGAGTGAGTTTCAGGCAGCCAGGGCTACCCAGAGAAACCCTGTCTTAAAAATAAAAACAAAAACCTCTGTCTGGTTGCTGTAGAGGGCAAAAGGTCAAAAGAAGATGCTGAATTCCATGGAACTGGAGTTACAAATGGTCCTTAGCCACCCTGTAGGGACTCGGAATTGAACCCTGGTCCTCTGGAAGAGTAACAAGTTCTCTAAACTGCTGAGCCATCTCTCCAGCTCCCTAATTTTTTTTTAAATGAATCTTGTAAGAAGATGTATTTTTTCATTTTTAATTATGTGTATTTGTGGGAATGCACAAATGCATTTGAATGCAAATGCTCACAGAGGCCAAAAAAAAATATCCTCAGATTCCCCTGGGACTGGAGTAAGAGGCAGTGGTGAGCTGCATGCCATCGGTGCTGGAAATGAGCTCAGGTCCTGTGTAGTAGCAGTGTGCATTCTTAACCATGGAGCAATTTCCCCAGCCTGCTTTTTTTTTTTTTTTTTAACTCTTCAAAATAGGGCTCCCTATGTATCCTAGACTGGCCTGGAATCTGGAATCTTCCTGCCTCAGCCTTCTGAATGTTGTGATTATAGTTGTGCCCCATCACACCTGGCTACACCACACTGTTGTCCTTTATCAGACATACTATGCTATTTCATACTTCCATGCATTTGCATTTCATGTTCTCTTGACCTGAATTTTTTTGAAACTTGGAACTTTTGTTCTTGGTTTGTGAGACAGACTCAACTCTGACCTCAAACTTGCTATGTAGCCAAGAATTACCTTGAACTCCTGAATCTCCAGCCTTCTGAGTGCTGGGATTGTAGGCATATGCCATTCCTGCTTGGCTTTGGCACACTTATTAAAGGCACACACTGTTAGGTTTTCACAGCTAGTACTATAGTAGCTTGTGCAGTAAGCAGACAAAGAATGTGAAGTTGCTCTAGGTTCTTTGCTCTAGGTTACTCTAGGTTCTTTGCTCTAGGTTCTTTGCTCTAGGTCACTCTAGGTTACTCTAGGTCACTCTAGGTTCTTTGCTCTAGGTTACTCTAGGTTGCTTCCAACTTGGAGTCCTTAGAATTCATTTCACAGCCTGGTGGTCAGTGCAAGGAGTCCTACGTAGACGGCCTGCTGGTTTTTGATTTGCAGCTTCACTTCTGTAGCTATCTGTAGGTCTCCTGAGACATCTTTTTCAGTTTTTAAGATGCTTCAAGACTGATTTGTAAAAACATTAAATTATATTTTACTCTATTGCAGGGGAACATTGTTCTTACAGATTATGAGTACCTAATTTTAAATATTCTAAGGTTTCGAACTGATGAAGCAGATGATGTTAAGTTTGCTGTTCGTGAACACTATCCCATTGATCATGCCAGAGCTGCTGAACCTTTGCTGACTTTAGAAAGGTAAGTGTTTATACAATCATCATATTGTATTAAAAGGTAAACTAGGTTAGATTTCAGAAAAAAATTGAATTAATGTTTAATTATATAACACTGAATTGTATAAACATGCGTATGAGCAATTACATTTTATTTGTGGGTAGCAGATGTCTTCTCTCTCTCCCTCCCCGTTTTGGTGCCTATCCTGGAGCTCACTGTATAGACCAGGCTGGCCTCGAACTCACAGAGATCCTCCTGGTTCTGCCTCCTGAGTGCTGGGATTAAAGGTGTGAGCCACCACTGCCCTGGCTCCCTCTTTTTTAAGAGAAGGTTTCACTATGCAGCTCTGACTGGCCCAGAACACTGTGTGTAAACTAGGCTGGCCTTGACCTCACAAAGATCCACCTTCTTTGCCTCCAAATGGCTGGGATTAAGATATACACCACCAAGCCCAGCCCTCAAGTAGATGTCTTTTTATATACAGTTTGGATTTTTCCTTCCTTCTTCCTTTCTTCCTTTCTTCTTTCCTTCCTTCCTTCCTTCCTTCCTTCCTTCCTTCCTTCCTTCCTTCCTTCCCTCCCTCCCTCCCTCCCTCTTTCCTTCCTTCCTTCCTTTCTTTTTTTTTTTTTTTTCTTTGAGACAAGGTTTCTCTGTGTACCTTTGGAGCCTGCCCTAGAACTCACTCTGTAGCCCAGGCTGACCTCGAACTCACAGAGATCCACCCGGCTCTGCCTCCCGAGTGCTGGGATTAAAAGCGTGCGCCACCACTGCCCAGCGCTGTTTGTGTTTCTTAGTGCTTCTGATTTCTTGGCAAAGTGAGGTGCTGACTTCACTGTTCTGTGAGAAGACAGATACATTAGGCAGGCAGAGTGTAGTGTGGGTAGTTCTGATTTATTTAGGAAAAGTGAAAGGATAAGGTGATGATTAATTACAGCTTCTCTGACCGTCAGGCTTTGCTACCTAGTCGTCCACTTGATGTTCTTCAGCTCATGTTCATCAGAATCAGAGGGAGGGCTTGCTGAGCTGTAAACTCTCCACCTTTGCCATTGCAGTAGATCCAAGGGGGACTCTTTTTTTGGTTTTTCGAGACAGGGTTTCTCTGTGTAGTTTTGGTACCTGTCCTAGATCTTGCTCTATAGACTAGACTGGCCTCAAACTCACAGATCTCCCTGGCTCTGCCTCCCGAGTGCTGAGATTAAAGGCGTGTGCCACCACCGCCCGGCCTGAAATTATCTCATCTTTAATTAGGTGTAACTGTTGCAGGTGTTCAGATATGGCATGTAGGTTTACAAACAAGATGTAACTTTTATATAGAAATGCATCTTTCGTGTCACATTGATGATAAGAAATTCATGACTTTGTTGAAAAATACTGATTTCTTATAGAAAACCTGGATTTAAGTCTCAGGTTAACATTCAGGAACCTTCTAATTGTGAATAAATTATGAGAGTGTGTATGTGTGTGTTGATACAGAGTCTTGCTGTGTAGCCTAGTCTGGCCTTGAACTCAGGGTTTTCCATCTACCTCTGACTCAAGATTATAATCATATATCACCATACCCAGCTCTGGCTAAAAAAATTCCTTTTAAAGTAAGTGTGTGTGCACATGTATGTGTGCCCAGGTGTGTGTGTGTGTGTGTGTGTGTGTGTGTGTGTGTGTGTGTGTGTGTGTGTGTTGTGCGCTCTACAGAGACTAGAAGAGAGCATCAGAGCCCCTGGAGCTGGAATTACAGATGGTTGTGATCTACCAGTTGTGGGTGCTGGGAAGGGACCTCTGGTCCTCTGCAAGAGCAAGTGTTCTTAACCTCTGAGCCATCTCTAGCTCCATGGATAAATTACTTTTAGGACTAGTTTTTCATGTCTACAAGAATAATTTCAGACTCTTGTAAAGAAAGATTAAATAAATTGATGTAGATGAAGGTAATATGAATGTGAATAATGCTATAAAGTTTATTAAGTATAAGATGATAAAAAATGTGCCAATTTTGTCCACAGATTGACTGAAGTCATAGCTAGTGTTCCTAAGGGTGAACTGCTGAAGAGAGTTCTTAATCCATTACTTCGTGAGTACTCCTGCATTTCGCAGTAAGATGTTTGTGTGGCAACACTTTCACGAATATATTTAAATTTTTTTTTCCCTTTCAAAAAATTGAGCAAGAGGCTGGAAAGATACTTAAATTCAGTTCACAGCACATGACCAATGGTTCATAACCGCCTATAACTCCAGCTCCAAGGGATCTGATACCCTCTTCTGGCCTTCATGGGTATCCACACACATGAGGCATACATTTACATAACATACACATAAATAAAAATAAAGCATTATTATTTTTTTGAACAAGAAGTTAAAAGGGATCTTTTGAGTACTTATGGTTTTATTCTCAAAGAAAGAAGTTTTTGTTTGTTTTGCGGTACTGGACACTGAGCCCAGGGCTTTATGATGATGAGCAGCCGTCTCCCACTAGGCTTCATTGTCCTGAAAGATGGAGATTTTTCTATTGGTTCGATCTTATTTAAAACAGTACAGATGGAGCCGGGCGGTGGTGGCGCACGCCTTTAATCCCAGCACTCGGGAGGCAGAGCCAGGAGGATCTCTGTGAGTTCGAGGCCAGCCTGGGCTACCAAGTGAGCTCCAGGAAAGGCGCAAAGCTACACAGAGAAACCCTGTCTCGAAAAACAAAAAAAAAAAAAAAAAACAGTACAGATGGAGCTGGTTATAGCTCAGTTAATAGATGCCTGCTTAGCATTCACAAAGCCCTGGGCTCAACCCCCAGCATTATGTCAAGTGGCCTGATGGTCCACACCTACAATTTCAGTACCCTTGGGAGGCAGGAGGATCAGAGGTTTGAGGTCATCCCTTGACTTTGCAGTCAGCTCAAGGCCAGCTTGGGATAGATGGATGAGCAGCCCTTTTCTCAAAAATAAACGCAGTGGCTGGAGCGATGGCTTAGTGGTGAAGAGTGCGTGCTGCTCATAAGGATCTAGTTCAGTACCTACTTGTTGCTCTCAGATGCCTGTAACACAACCAGTTCTAGGGTTTCCGACGCTGTTCTGGCCTCCATGAGCTCTTGTTTGCCCTTGATGCAAGTAAACCCACATACACACACAATACACATAAATAACGCGTCTTTTTAAAAAAAATAAAAGTGGGGCTGGAGAGATGGCTCAGCGGTTAAGAGCACTGACTGCTCTTCCAGAGGACCTGCGTTCAATTCCCAGCAACCACATGGTGGCTCACAACCATCTGTAATGAGATCTGGCACCCTCTCCTGTATAAGTAAATAAATAAATCTTTAAAAATAAATAAAATAAAATAAAAGTGGCCAGGTGATGGTGGTGCATGCCTTTAATCCCAGCACTCGGGAGACAGAGCCAGGCAGATCTCTGTGAGTTCAAGGCCAGCCTGGTCTACAGAGCAAGGTTCAGGACAGGCACAAAAGCTACACAGAGAAATCCTGTCTTGAAAAAAACCAATAAATAATAAACAAACAAACAAACAAATAAATAAAAGTGATACAGAATATGTTATCAGTACCTCAGTATTATAGAATACAGAGCATTTCCTTTTTTTTTCAAAGAACTGTTTTGTTTAAAAACCACTTAGCTTAGTTGTTTGTATTTATATTTATTTTTTTAAATTTATTTATTTATTTGTTTATTTATTTATTTATTATGTATACAGTGTTCTGTCTGCATGTATGCCTGCACACCAGAAGGGGCACAAGATCTCATTACAGATGGCTGTGAGCCACCGTGTGGTTGCTGGGAATTGAACTCAGGACCTCTGGAAGAGCAGCCAATGCTGTCAACCTCTGAGCCATCTCTCCAGCCCAGTATTTATTTTATTATTTTACAAAGTTTGTGGACCTCAAGGCTGATAGCCTCTGCCTGATATTCATTCTCTCCTGTCCCTCTCAGCTTTACCATGTCCTTTTGTCTGTTTGGTTTGCTTTGGTTTTGACACAGGCATGGCTCAGCTAGCCTTGAACTTGTTATGTAGTGCAGGCAGCCTTAAATCCACGGTGATCTTCCTGCTACAGTTTATCTTGGCAGATTTCTATGGCTTTTGAAATTAGATAATTTAAATATTCTTAGATCTTTCTTTTTTCCTCCGAAGTTTTGACTATCCTTTTGCATTTCATTGTACAGTTTAGAGTTGGAGTATTGCTTTCTACAACAACAAAAATTTGCTAGGATTTTGATGAGGGTTGGGTTGGTTCTGTGGGGAGAATAGCAGTCTGAATTTGCAGAGTCTTCTATGAACAAAGAACGTCTTACCATTTATTTGGATTTTTCTTTTAATTTCAGTATTTTATAGTTTGTGTGTATAAATTTTATTCTTAAATGCTTGGATTTTCTTTTTGTGTTGTTGTTAGTTTTTAAAAATTAATAGGCATGATAGCCCATGCCTTTAATTACCAGCACTTGGAAAGAGAGGCAGTCAGGTCTCTGAGTTTGAGGCTAACCTGGTTTACATAGGGAGTTCCAGGACAACTATGACATAATGAGACCCTGTCTGCAAAAATAAAGAACAAATCAATAACTATATTTTAATTTGTTTTGTGAGAGTGGGCACACTCAAGCCATGGTGCACAGTGGATCTCCGTCAGAAGACAACTTGGCGGGAGTCAATTCTTCCAATGTGTGGGGGTCTTGGGATTGAACTCAGGTCATGAGACTTGGCAGTGGCAACCTTTACCTGTGGAGCCATCTCATCGGCCCATAGAATTGTTTTCTTAATTTCATTTTTTGTTAAGAATACAATTGATTTTTTAGAAATATTTGTTTTTATTTTTTATATATATGTGAGTACCTGCATGTATGTCTAGTGTCCACACAGGTCCAAAGAGTAGTCATGTCCCCTGGAACTGGCATCACAGTGGTTATAAGCCACTGTGATTGTTGAAACTAAACCAGCATCCTCACTATGATTAGCAAGTTCTCTCAATTACTGAACCATCTCTCCAGCCCCCAATTGATATTTATATATTTTGATATTTATATAAACTTAATTTATATATATTGTATCTTTCAGAGCTGATAAAGTCATTTAGTCTAGAAGGCTGAATGTGTGTGTGTGTGTGTATGTGTGTGTATTCTTTAGGAATTTTTAGCATATAGGGCCATATCTCCTCTGAGAATAAAGCTGCTTTTTCTGTTTTACTTTGAATGCTTTTGGATAATTATATCTTTTAAAAAATTATTTGTTTTATGTGTATGGGTATTTTGCCTGCATGTATGTCTGCTAAGATTTATTTATATATTTTATGTATGTGCATGCTTTGTCTACATACCAAAGAGGGCATCAGATCCCATTACAAACAAACGATTGTGAGCCACCATGTAGGTGCTGGGAAATTAATTCTATCTTACTATACTAGCTGTGATCTAGAGTACAATGCTAAGTAGCTGTGGTAAAAATTAAAAGCTTTACCTTTTACCTCATCTGAGAGAGAATATATTTAGTGTTTTATTAGTAAGTATGGTATTAGCAGTAGTTTTTTTTTTTAATAGGTATCCATTGACAAATCGAAATGGTTCCTTTATTGAGTGTTTTCTAATAGGAATCAGTGGTAGAATTTTCAGATGGTTTTCTGCATCTCACTGATATATGGTTGTTCTATGAATATGTTCTGTGAATATGGTTTATCTTATTAGCCAGTTGTTTTGTTTGTTTTAATTTAAATATTTATTTTTTTCTGAGTTTGATATTGGTTGAATCCTCCTTCTTATACCAAGCTATATCCTAGGCTCTTTCTTTTTATTTTAGTTTTTTAATTTAGTGTTTTGCTTGCGTGTGTGTGTGTGTGTGTGTGTGTGTGTGTGTGTGTGTGCGCGCGCGTGCGTGTGCGCGCGCGCACCTGCCTGCCTGCCTGCCTGTGTGTATGTGCCTGATGCTCAGGGAGTCAGAAGAGAGCGCTAGATCCCCTGGAAGTGGACTTAAAGATGGTTATAAACTACCATGTGGGTTCTGGGAACTATCAGAGTGTGCCCAGGTTCTCTGAAAGAGCAGTAAGTGCTCTCTTAACCACTAAGCCATCTCTGTCTAGCCTCCTACCCACCCGTTTAAAAATATTTGACATATCTTTACTGTGTAGTACAAGCTGGATTCCAACTTGAGATCTTGCTGTTTTCAGCCTCTTGGGATAGAAAGCATGTTCCAACATGCCCAACATTTTTTTTTTTTTTTAAATCTGGTACCTAATAAAAACTGTGTATATTATTAGGGTAACAAGATTTTAGTACATATGTGCAGTGTTTGTGTTATCTTTAGTCACCCTGCTGTGCAGTGATATACCACGACCTTGTACTCTAACTCTGTGTCTAACTCAGTACGCACTGATCAGCCTTTCTCTAACCTGTCATGCCTGTCCCTGTCAACCACTCTGTTTCTCAAATGTAATATTTTTAGATTTTACGTACTGTGAAATAATGTAGTTCTTGTGTTTCTATACCTAGCTTATTTCATTTAACATAATAAAACACAGTTCCATTCTTGTTATTGCAAATGACAAAATGACAGGATTTCGTTCTTTTTAATATCCAAATAATATTGCAGTCTTTCTTTCTTTTCTTCCTTTCTTTCTTTCTTTCTTTCTTTCTTTCTCTCTCTCTTTCCTTATCTTATCTTTTCTTTTTTTTTTTTTTTTTTGGTTTTTCGAGACAGGGTTTCTCTGCATAGCTTTGCGCCTTTCCTGGAGCTCACTTGGTAGCCCAGGCTGGCCTCAAACTCACAGAGATTCGCCTGGCTCTGCCTCCCGAGTGCTGGGATTAAAGGCATGCGCCACCACCGCCCGGCATCTTATCTTTTCTTTTCTTTTTTTTTTTGTATTTGAGACAGGATCTCTATGTAGCCCTGGCTATCTTGTGTAACTCACTTTGTAGGGTGATACCTCATTATTGTTTTGGTTTGCATTTTGTGGATAATTAGTGATCTTGTACAACTGTATTTTATTTTATTTTATTTATGTGTATTGGTGTGTGGGTATGTGAATATGTGTGCCATTGCCTGTAGAGCTCAGAGAGGCATCAGATCCTCCTGGAACTAGAGTTAAGTCCAGTTGTGAGTTACCTGATGTAGGTGCTGGGAATCACACTTGAGTTTAACTGCTGAACTGTCTCTCCAACCTGTGTAGAACATGTTTTCCATAACTTTTGGCCATTTGTGTATCTTTTGAAAAGTGTCTTAAGTATTGCACATTTGTTAATTGTAATATTTTAGTTGATTTTTGTAAACCAAATCAACCTTGAAATACAATGACAAATCCCTCCTGGTCATGGTTTATAATTTTCCTTATGATTTCTTTGTGGTATTAAGGGTCAAGCCCAGGGGTTTTTGTTTGTTTGTTTGTTTAATATGCTAAGCAAGTGCTCTGCCACTGAACTACATTTCTAGCTAATCTTATATGTGTGTTGCTTAATGCCATTAAATACCTGTAACATGCACGAATTCTCTGCTTGCTGGAATTTCAGGCTCCTCTCTTTACTTCAGGTCTTAATCCTACTACCACTTGAAAAGAAGTAAAATTACTTTCCCTGGCTATTTATATTGAGTAGGGTATTCATACTGAGCTATAAATTTTTTGAAATTTATTTAAGTTTATCTTATGTGCATTGGTGTGAAAGTGTCAGATCCCCTGGAACTGGAGTTATAGACAGTTGTGAGCTGCCATGTGGGTGCTGGGAATTGAGCCTGGGTTCTCTGGAAGAGCAGCCAGTGCTCTTAATCATTGAGCCATCTCTCCAGCCCCTTAAGCTATAAATTCATACTGTGTTTTAAATGTGAAGTCCTAAAGGAAAATAATAACAACAATACTCTTTACTTTTGTAGCCTATGGACCAGCTCTTATTGAGCACTGTCTTATAGAAAATGGATTCTCTGGCAATGTCAAAGTGGATGAAAAACTTGAAAGCAAAGGTATGTGTGTCTGTCTGCATGGTCCAGATTTTGTACATTTTCACTTCTTTTCTTTTCCCTTTGACCCTTTTTCTTTGAAGTTTTGTGGTACTGGAAATTAAACCTAAGAACCTACAAGTCCTAGACAAATGTACTGCTGATAAACACCTTATTTATTTTCTTTTTTACGACTTGATTTTTTTGGAAATAAGCTTTCTCCTACATTGTAGTGCAGTATCATCTTGAGCTCTGAGTCTTCCTGCCTCAGCCTCCTGGATACTGAGATCACATGTGTGTGCTAGCACACCTAGCCCTTCCTTCCTTCTTTCTTTCTTTTCCTTCCTGTTTTTTTCTTGTTTTTTTTGTTTGTTGGTTTGTTTTGTTTGGCTTTTCAAAACAAGGTTGCTCTGTGTAGCTTTGGAACCTGTCCTGGAACTTGCTTTGTAGACCAGGTTGGCCTCGAACTCAGAGACCTGCCTGGCTCTGCCTCCCTAGTGCTGGGATTAAAGGTGTGCGCCACCACTGCCCGGCCTTTTCCTTCCTTTTCAGTGTGTAGGAATGTTTTGCTTCCTTGTGTATCTGTTTGCTACATATTTGCCTGGTGCCCTGGAAGGCCAGAAGAAAGTGTCAGATCCCTTGGGACTGGAGTAAGAACCCATGTGAGCCACCATGGTGGATGCCAGGAATTGAATTTGTGTCGTCTGGAAGAATAGCCAGTGCTCTTACCTGCTAAGACATCTCTCCAGCCTTTGGCCCTTGTTTCTTTACTAGGAATAACTTAACTTTTTAAAGTTAGAAGTGAATGTTTAACTCTAGACTTAGAAAACTTTGGTCTGGGATTGTTAAGATGGCTCACCAGGTAAAGAACTTGCTGTCAAGCTTGAGGATCTTAAGTTTGAGCTCCAGGATCCACATGTTGGAAAGAAAGAACCAGGTCCAGCTTTTTATTTGTCCTCTGACCTCTACATTTGGGCCCTACCCCTGTCCCTATACATACATACATGTATATGAAAATATATAAATAATGGTAGTTCATACCTGTAATCTCAATGCTAAGAGTGGATTTTGGTGAGTTTGAGGACAATCTGGGCAACATAGTGAGTCCCTGTCTCAAAAAAAAAATAATTTTTTAAAATTAAAAAGAGCAACAAAAAACAACAAACAAAAATTTGATCAGAGTATCCTACACATATGGCTTTCCTCCATTCCTCCTCCAGTGTGAACATTTATTCCTATTAATAAGCACTTTAGTCTTTTTTGCCTACCTTCATGCCTTTGAACTTTAGAAGGTTTTTTTCTTTTCATACATACCCTCTAGTTTTTGCACTGACTACTGAGCTGGGGATGGTAGCCATCTTGATTAGTTGGATCACTAGCCTTATGACTGAACGCACAGGGTACATCTAGAAATAGCGTCTGTCATGCATTTGGATTTCTGCAGTCCTGTAAAGTGTCTGCATGATGAAACCAGGCTGCAGTGGTTACTCACGGAAGCTAACTCATCAGAACGAGAAGAAGAAGAAAGTAGGGCCGGCGAGATAGCCCAGTGGAAGGGTACCTGCTCCCAAGCCTGATGACCTGAGTTGATTCCAGGATCAAACTGACTCCCCAAAGCTGTCCACTAATCGCCACCTGCACACTGAGGCACACACACAAACATACAATAATAAATAAATATTTTAAAAATAAAATAATAATAATTATTTTAAAGCTGTTATTTAAAAATGAATTTAAAAAGTAAATGTAAGGAAGATTTGTTCTTGGACAAATTATGACCTTTCTGACTCTAGATGATGTTTGAAACATTCCTAATGTTTGTGTTTGAGGATTATTTGTCATTTTCTAAGGTATAGAGATAATTTTCATTTTATGAATGAAATTTTGTTTGTTTAAAAATACAAATCAATGCCAAGTGGTAATGGTGCATGGCTTTAATCCCAGCACTTGGGAGGTAGAGGTAGGCGGATCTCTGTGAGTTAGAGACCAGCTTAGTCTACAAAGTTGCAGAACAGCCAGGAGTGTTAACACAAGAAACCCTGTCTTGAAAAACCACCGAATAAACAAACAAAAATAAAATACAAATCAAACGTTTCCTGAAATATATTAATGCCGTGTGTCCTCTTTGTCTCTAGTGACAACAGATGGTGGTGTGTAGCTGGAGTTTTCTCCTCTCCCTCCTGGGCCAGCAGCTACTCAGACCCAAATAAACACACAGAGGCTTATATTAATTAAAACTGCTCGGCCATTAGCTCAGGCCTACTACCGACTAGCTCTTACACTTAAACTCAGTCCATTTTCGTTAATCTGTATGTCGCCGCATGTTTTGTGATTTTACCTGTGTGCCATTACATGCTGCTCCCTGGATGGGCAGGCTGGCGTCTCCTGATTCAGCCTTCCTCTTCCCAGAATTCTCCTTGTTTGCTTATCCCGCCTATACTTCCTGCCTGGCTGCTGGCCAATCAACATTTTATTTATCAACCAATCAGCAACACATCCGTAGCATACAGAGCGATATCCACAGCACTTCCCCTTTTCTTTTCTTTTTTTTTTTCCAAAAAGGAAGGTTTTAACTTGAACATAGTAAAATTACATATAACAAAACAGTTATCAAGCAGATTTAGGACTGGTGGGTGAGAGAGATTTGTCCTGACCACAGGCCAGGTGGGACACAGGAAAACTTCAGCTACAAAGGTGGTATTTTTGGTGTTTTTTATAAAATGAGCAAAAGCACGGGAAAGTGTTTGGGACAACTCTGGTTACTTAATGTTAGTTATATAACCTTTTCACAGGTTACAATGTAGTATGAGGCTGTAGAAATTAAATAGTAACTTTTTGGAGAGGGAATTTACAAAGAACCCAGAAAGAAGTATATATGGAAATTAGTTTTATGAATAAAGAATCCTCTTGTTTGAAAGGTGGATGATTTAGAATAGGCTGACCAAATTATAACCTTATATATATATATATATAAATAATATATATTTAGTATATATAATATATATTTAGTATATATATAATATATTTATTATTTATATATAGCAATTACACAAATGAAACAACTGTACCTCATTTTACTCATTTTATTAAGCACTTACATTATTTCATTAGTACTTTTCCTTTTTTTGTTAAAATTTGTATGTGAGTGTATATGTGTGTGTGCGCCTGATATGTGTTGGGGAGACAGGACACATGCCATAGCATCTATGTGGAAGTCTAAGACCAACTTTGTGGAGTCTATTCTCTTTCCACCTCTATGTTGGGTTCTGGGGATTGAATTCATGTCTCTAGGCTTGTGCAGCCATCTCATTGGCCTATTTTTATTTTTATTGTTACTAGATTTAGTGTGTTTATGTGTGTGTTCAGAGGACGGCTTGTTAGGAATTGGTCTTCTTCCTTCCACTTCTGGAGACTTGATAGCATCCCAGTTGTTTTTTTTTTTTTTTTGAGATAGGGTTTTACTGGGAAAGTTGGCCTTGAACTCATGATTGTCCTGCTTCAGCCTCCTTACTGCTGGTATTAGAGGCCTGTACTACCATACCCAGCTACCTTCCTGCTGTTTTTGTATTTTAATAAATATATTGAGCCAGGTGTGGCAGCACTGCATAACGCATAATGAGACCCTGCCTCAAAAAAACGAAAATGAATAGTACATAGTTATTTAATAGTGGTTAATCAACTTGATTGGCATCCCTTTTCCCCTTGTTTTTATTTCTCCATTAGATATTGAAAAAATCCTGGTTTGTGTGCAGAAGGCAGAAGACTATATGAGAAAAACATCCAACTTCAATGGAAAGGTAGCAGCGTCATGTAAATACTTACCATGTATTGTTTGCATGTATCTGTTTATTGGGGAGGTATCATAGCCTTCAAAAGGTTAGACAACCTGCAGGAATTGACTAATTCCTTTGCTGTGTGGGTCCTAGGGATCAAACTCAGGCTTGTCAGACTTGGTGACAGACATCTTTACCCATTGTTGCATCTCAGCAGCCTTGTATTATTTTGATCTTACCGGATTTCCAGAAATACATTATCTTTTATCTATTTAATATCTTTTATCTATTTATTGTTCTAACTTATAGTTTTGTTTTTCTTATGTGGGGCTTGAATGCAAGGCCTTGTATATACAAATTCATACTGTACTATTGGACTATACACCTGGTTCTGGGGTAGTCTCTTCGAAAATTTTTTTTCTATCCTTTATCTTTTATAGAAAATACTGTGTTGGGGCTCAAGGTAAAACTCAGTTGATAAGAGTCTTGCCTAGAGTACACTTGGCCCTGGGTTTGGTCCCCAGCACTGCATAAATTAGGTACTATGAGTGCCTGCCTGTAATCTTAGCACTTGAGAGGTGGAGGCAGGGGGATCAGAAGTCCAAGGTCATCCTTGCCTGCATAGCAAGTTGAAAGCCAACCAGAGCTAAACAAAATCTTAAAACAAAACAAAGCAAAAATCCACAAGAGAAGAAGAGTTGAGGAATTTGTGTAGAAGAAAAAAAGTTTAACTTTTTTTTAAAGGTTTTTAATTACATGTATGTATATGTGCATATGTGAATGCATGCCACAATGTGTTAGTGTTAGTACCCTTGGAGGCCAAAAGAAGGTGTCGATCCCTTAGAATTGGAGTTACAGGCAGTTGTGAGCCTCCTATTATGGTTGCCGGGAGCCAAACTTGGGTCCTCTGGAAAACAACAGGCAGTCCTAAGTGCCTACTCCAGCCAGTTTCTCTTTGATCCGAGGTCTTGCGGTGGGGCCCAGGATGGCCTTAGTACTCAAGATGTTCCACATCGGCCTCCCAGTGCTGGGTTTTAGGCAGGGATCACAGTACCTGGCTAAAGTGTTGCATCTTGAGTTGATTTTAGAGAAGCATTCTTTAATTTGCTAGCACTTAAAAAAATGGTGGCTTATAATCTCATAGTTAAACAATTAGAAAATTACCTCATACTTTAATATTTTTCTTTCATATTCAAAATGCATCTTTAATTAGAAAAAACAACAGTCAATATGTCAGTTTTTGTTAGTTGTGAATATAGATGAGTCTAATATTAGTTGCTTTTTGTTTTTTGTTTTTGTAGGGCTATATAATTCAGAAAAGAGAGGTAAAACCAAGCCTGAATGCAGATAAACCAGCTGAAGAAATACTCACGTATGTAGCCATGGGTCAGTTTGCTTTGTATGCTAATTAATATTCTTAATTGTGATGTAATAAATATGTTTTACAGGTATGAGGAATTTCATCCTTTCTTGTTTTCTCAACATTTACAATGTCCATATATAGAATTTGAATCATTTGACAAGGTGGGTTTTCTAGTTCTGTTTTTTCACTGGTTAACATGACATGAGTTGTAAGGATTGTTTATGCTGTCTTGGGGTTGGGTGTTTAGTGTAGCCCATTGTGAGTGCATGCACAAAGCCCTGGATTGAATCCTCAACACTGCAAAAAAAAAAAAAGAAGAAGAAGAAGAAGAAAGAAAATTAACTCAAAAAATATTCTTGCCTTACAGTCAGTGTGAATCTGGGGATTGACTAAAAATCAATTATAGTTACAGATACAACTGTTAGAAACAGTTGTTGCCATTTTTATTTAAAGATATGACTAAATACTTGACATTATTTTTATTCTTGACATTGTTAGCTGTATTATTGGAAATGTGGTCAGGTCCAGTGAGGGCACTACAGTACAAAACAGGCTAACACTGTGTGTGTGCAAGGTGAAGTAGAGACCATGCTTTTTTTCCTTATAGCCAATTGTTTGTCTTTTTTTTTTTTTTAATAAGGCCGTGGATGAATTTTATTCCAAGATAGAAGGTCAGAAAATTGATTTAAAAGCTTTACAACAGGTATAGTATTATTTAAAATATTTGTATTAGACTAACTAGTCAAAGTGGTTTGGAGGTAAATATGCTTTCATTTAAGAATAAGTTGCGACTTTTAAATTATAACCTGTTTTTATGTTCAAACTATCTGTGTGTTATTTCTCCTGCAGTTGTACATAAAATGTTTTTACGTTCAAAAAAAAGGGACAAATACTATAGAATTGTATTATATAAAATATATAGAATATACAAATTCCTAGAGACAGAAAGATTAGACATTATCTCAAGATAGAGAAGAAAGGAATTTAGAGCAATGATTTCCTAAGTACAGAATCTCTGATCTGTGTGATGGAAAAACCCTATAAATGGATAGTAATATTAGGACATAATATTATGAATGTAATAAATCAATACAATTAATGTAATTAATGAATATCATAAATATAAATATTGAATGAATACTACGAATGTGATCAATGAATACCACAAATGTAGTTAATATCATGAGTGTAATTAATGACTATCATGAGTGTAATTTAAAAAAATAATTAAAATAAAAAATTAATTAATTAATTAATTAGAAAAGAGAATAAGTTGGCCTTCTAGAAGTAAGGGACATGGTATGAGAGTCCTCAGATCAGATCCCCGGAACTGGAGTTACAGATAGTTATGAACTATCATGTGAATTCTGAGAACTGAAGAGGCCTCTGGAAGGGCAGCAACTACTCTTAACCACTGAGCATCTCTCCAGCCCCAGTGTTTTCTTTTGAGCTAGGGACTCACTGCAATCCTGGCTTGTCTTGACACTCAATGTGCAGATCAAGTTGGCCTCAAACTGAGATCTGGGATTGAAGGCATATGTCACCATGACATTCCATCCATGTCACCTCATTCCATCCTCCCACTTTTGTTCCATTTCTCATCTTTCTAAAGCCTGTTACATACCCTAGTATGACTCAGGATATTTAAAGCAACCCAGAGCTTCTCAAACTTGGACATTATGAAACTACATTATAAGGAACACGTTCCATGGGCCAGGGGGAGAATGTATTTTCTGTACTGTTTCTTTATTGTAAACTTGGTATTCTTTTTCTTAAGCTGCTTTAAAACTAAGCCCATGTCTGTTCTGTATGATGATTGTCAATGAGGATTTTACATGCACTGTTTTTGCAGCATATTTGACCATGTTTTTAGAACATGTGCTATAGATCTGTTTCTTTTTTTCTTTTTAATTTTTATTTATTCTCTCATACAATATATCCCAAAGTCACTTTTAATTTGGAAGGGATTTGATTTTTTTCAAAAATATTAGCCATAGGGCCTCAACCCCAAAGAACTCTGGGCAACTATGGAGTGCTGAAAGTGGGAGAAAAGGTCTTCCCCAGGGAAGGCCCTGGATTGGCTGTCCAGGACCAGGTGGGCGGCACTGAGGTCACACACACACACACACACACACACACACACACTGGTAGTATTATGTGGACTGAGCAGGCTGTATTTCAGTATTCAGCGTGGGGGTGGGGGAATGTGTATAACAGTGGTGAAGAAAGGCTGAGTTTGGGGAAAGAGCAAAGGAGTGTGCATGGGAGGGGCTGGAGGGACAGGGAAAACAAATGTTGTTATAAAAAAAGAGTTAGAGGGCTGGAGAGGTGGCTCAGAGGTTAAGAGCATGGCTGCTCTTCCAGAGGTCCTGAGTTCAATTCCCGGCAAACACATGGTGGTGACAACCATCTGTAATGAGATCTGGTGCCCTCTTCTGGCCTGCAAGAATACATGCAGGCAGAACACTATACATAATAAATAAACAAATCTTAAAAAAAAAACAAAGTTAAACATAACAAAAATAGTGCAAGATTTCAAGTTTTATGACTGCTTATACACTCTTCCCTTTTGTTTTAAAATAGTACAATTTCCAAGCATGTAGTTAAATAAATTGCATCATGTGATTGTCACATGATGGCAGGACACTGGCTGGAGAACAGAGATTTAGCAAGAATACTCATTATCAATATTATTCTTATATTTTTAATTTTGTTTTTTTGAGACAGAGTCTATACATAGCCCTGGCTGTCCCGAAACTCACAGAGATGGGTCTGCCTCCGCCTCCTAAGTGCTGGGATTAAAAGCATGCACAGCAATATTTATTATTTTATTTATTTATTTTAATATTTTTAAAAAATTTAGATTTATTTATTTTATAGGTATGAATATTTTGCCTGCATGTGTATATGTATGTATGCATGCCTAGTCCCGCTGCATTAGGGCACCAATGCAATTTTATATGCAATTAGATCAACACAATGATATTGAAAGGGTTTCAGATATTTATATTAGGGCTGCACAGCTGATAGTGTATATACAGGTATTCCAAAATCCAAAACAACTCCATTATAAGAAATGTACCAAACACCTAGGTTTAAGGATACTCAGACTATACCAGTAACTTCTTGTGGTAATCACTTTTAATAGTCCCCACTCTTATAAATTAGATCCTTTAGGTATTTTGTCCAACATTTAAATAATAATTAATTGGTGATGCTATAAGGTTTTAAAAAAAAGTCCTCAAATCAGTAATTTAAAAATATAAGTCAGGATGGTAGTGTATGCCTGTAACCCCTGCTGATGAGAAGTGGAGTCAGGAGTATCAGGAATTAGGCTAATGAGTTTGAGGCCAGCCTTGTCTGCTACATATGAGACCCTGTCTCAAAAAACAAACTCTGAAGTATAAATTATGTCTGATAAATGTTATACAGGAGGGCAAATAACTTCTCTGAACCTTTGTATTATTATGTGAGGGAAAGGTGTTAATGAAAAATACTGGAATTTAATGCTGAGATAACTAAATGTCAATAAGACAATAATTTGTGCCTTTAAAAAGTTGATTTTAGGCCGGCCAGTGGTGGTGCACGCCTTTAGTCCCAGCACTCAGGAGGCAAAGCCAGGCAGATCTTTGTGAGTTCGAGGCCAGCCTGGTCTACAGAGCAAGATCCAGGAAAGGCACAAAGCTACACAGAGAAACCTTGTCTTGAAAACCCCCCCCCCCAAAAAAAAAATAGTTGATTTTAGTGGGGGTGGGGTTGCGCACACCTTTAATCCTAGCACTGGGGAGGCAGACGCAGGTAGATCTCTTGAATTCGAGGCCAGCCTGTTCTACAGAGCAAGTTCCAGGACAGCCAGGGATACATAGTGAGACCCTGACTTGAAGAAAGAAAAAAATAAGTTGATTTTAGATGTATTTATTTTATGTGTATAAGTGTTTTGCCTGCATATATGTGTACCACATGTGTGCCTGTTGGCCATGAAGGTCAAAAGAGGGTGTCAGATTCCGTGGAACTGGAGTTACAGATGCTTATGAGTCACCATGTAGATTCAGGGAACCAAAACTAGGTCCTCTGCAAGAACAGCAAGTATTCTTATTCACTGAGCCATCTCTCCAGCCCCTAGTTTGTACTTTTAAAGAACTTACTGGGAGGCTAGAGAGAATGGGTAAGGATGCATAATGCTCTTCCAGAGGCTTCCAGAGGTTCAGTTCCCAGCAGCCATGCCAAGAGGTTCACAACTGTCTGTAACTCCAGTGCTAGGGGATTTGAACCCTCTTCTGGACTTCACATATAGGAACCCACACATATGCACACATACAATCTTTAAATACATATTTTACACAAGGATTTATGGGGCTATGGAGGGAGCTCAGCTGTTAAGAGCACATGATGTTCTTGGAGAGGATACAAATTGAGTTCCTACGACCCACATTGGGCTGCTCAAAATCACCTCTGACTCCACCTCCAGGAGATTCAGTGTCCTCTCTGGCCTCCATGGGCACCTGTAATCAAATACACATTCACACATACATGTAACTAAAATAAATTTTAAAAAGTTTTATTTGGAGCTACTGATGTAATTCAGTGGTAGAGTGCTTTCTTGGTATGCATGAGGCCCTGGGTTTGATCTCTAATGCTACATAAGAAAGAAAAGCTTAGCCAGGCGGTGGCGGCGGTGGCACATGCCTTTAATCCCAGCACTCGGGAGGCAGGCAGATCTTTGTGAGTTTGAGGCTCTCCTGGGCCACAGAGTGAGTTTCAGGAAAGGCACAAAGCTACACAAAGAAACCCTGTCTCGAAAAACAAACAAACAAAAAAAAAGAAAAGAAAAGAAAGAGAAAGAAAGAAAGAAAGAAAGAAAGAAAGAAAGAAAGAAAGAAAGAAAGAAAGAAAGAAAGAAAAAAAGAAAGAAAAACTTATATGCCTTAAGAAATCTTGAATTTTGCCTGCTTGAATAATACCAAAGGAGTTGGGGTTATACTTTATATATAACTTACTTGTAACCAAAGCACCAAAGGACTGGGAGGAGGGTAGAGATAATATTTCAACATGACATGTCTTGAGGGAGTGAACTATCAGGAGACTTTTTTTCTTTTTGGTTTTTCAAGACAGGATTTCTCTGTGTATTGCTGGCTGTCCTGAAACTCAGATCTGCCTGCCTCTGTCTCCCCAGTGCTGGGATTAAAGGCGTGCACCACCGTCACCCGGCTTATGGAGAAACCTTTACAGCTGCCTATTTGATACCATTGATGGGTAGAGGAACCATTAGGACAGTAAGTTTTAGGAATTGAGGGTAGAAGTGCTGTGCATTGAAAGAAACCTAACCTGAAAATTCTGTTTTGTTACTGAAAGGAAAAACAAGCCCTGAAGAAATTAGATAACGTTCGAAAGGACCATGAAAACAGACTAGAAGCTCTCCAGCAGGCTCAGGTATTATGCCGAGCTTTTCCAGTTCTTCTCCGAACGTGATCATCTCGGCTGGCTTTATAGTAAATACATTGGGTTTGTTTCCTAAGGAACTGGACAAACTGAAAGGAGAGCTTATAGAGATGAACCTACAGATAGTCGACCGAGCCATCCAGGTCGTCCGAAGTGCATTAGCCAACCAGATAGACTGGACAGAGATCGGAGTGATTGTGAAAGAAGCCCAGGCTCAAGGAGACCCTGTGGCCACTGCAATCAAAGAACTAAAACTGCAAACAAACCATGTTACCATGCTGCTGCGGTGAGTGTGCTCCTTACCAGCTAGTGCTTGCCTTTATTTGTTAATTGTTCATGTATTCTTTTCACATAGAAAATATATAACTAAATCATTTTTAATTTTATTGGGGAAAATTTGAAATGAAAAGTGATGTCATTGACATTAGTGAAATACTATTGAATATTTTTAATAGAAATCCATACTTGTTATCAGAGGAGGAAGATGATGATGGTGATGGTGATGCCAGTGTTGAGAACAGTGATGCTGAACCACCAAAAGGGAAAAAGAAAAAGCAAAAGAACAAGCAGCTGCAGAAGCCTCAGAAAAACAAGCCGCTGCTTGTTGATGTGGATCTCAGCCTGTCAGCCTATGCCAATGCCAAAAAGTAAGCCATTTAACTATTCCTTTAGCTTTTACTCATATGTATGAATAGTTTGCTGCCATGTATTGTGTGCACCGGTGTGTGCCTGGTGTCGGAAGAAGCCAGAAAAGGGTGTCAGGTCCCCTGAACTGGAGTTACAGATGACTGTGAGCAGCAGTATGGATAACAGGAACCAAACCTGGGTCCTCTGGAAGAGCAGCCAGTGCTCCTAACGGATGACTCATATCTCTACACATGACTATAAATTCTTAGTAAATATTACCTATGGTAAATCAGTAGGATGTTAAGAACAGGTGTCATTTTGCCTGTTGTATGAGAGAGTTGCCCTGGGGAGATGAAACACAACACACATACATGTGCACATATGTGTCTGTTCACCTTAGGAAGGGAATCCACAACAGACCAAAGAAGAACACACACACAGTCACTTCTCTCTCTCTCTCTCTCTCTCTCTCTCTCTCTCTCTCTCTCTCTCTCACACACACACACACACACACACACACACACACACACGTCTTTTCACCCCAGGACGGGAGTCCACAACAGATCAAAGTAATGACTGCACCAGAGTCTCACTTGGTGAGCCAGTGAGGTTTTTTTGGGTTACTGACTGGAGTCCAGGGGAGGGCTGGCTTACAGGATCGAGGATAAGGCTGAAACAGTTGCCTCTCAGCATGGGTGGTGCCTCAGGAGCGCTGTGTATCTGGAGCCCTGTGCTCAGGTTAGAGACACCTCGACAGAGGCACGGGATCTCTTGCAGTTCAGCTGAGTCTCCTCAGGCAGTGTTGACTGCTTCTCTAACACGAAGGAGACCTTGAGGAATCTTACTTACTGCAGCCGACAGCTTTCTCAGACTTGGGAAGCGCGTTTACTTCCTGGGTCTCTTAGCACCCCCTCCTGGAAGGGATGTTTCAATTTGTAAGAAACTGCTACAGAACGTGTTTACATACTTCTTTGGTAAAAATTAATTTTGTGCTCTATACAACTTCGTTCTATATGATTTAGGACTGTAAATTAAAAATAAAAACTGAAGGTTTTACTTAATATTTAAAATAGATTTTTTTTTCTAGATATTATGATCATAAGAGGTATGCTGCTAAAAAAACTCAGAGGACCGTTGAAGCTGCTGAGAAGGTAACTTGATAATCTGACACTCATTGTTTTTTGTAGCTTTAATGACTTTTCTGTTTAAGTGAGCTTTTCTTTTTTCTTTTTCTGTTCTTTTTTTTTTTTTTTTTCAAGACAGGGTTTCTCTGTGTAGCCCTGGCTGTCCTGGAACTCACTCTGGAGACCAGGCTGGCCTCAAACTCACAGAGATTCACCTGCCTCTGCCTTCCCAATGCTCCCAAGGTGTGTGCCTGGCTAAGTGGGGTTTTCTAATTCAAAAATCTCCATTTTTAAATTTTGCTTTAAACGTGCTTATTTCCTGCGTTTACTTTCTTCTCTAAACCTGCACCTCCCTCTTTTTTCCTCATCTCAGCAAATAGCACTGTCACCCTTATCTGCTTCAGTGTTAGAGATATCCAGAACTCTCTTCTCATGTCCACATCTGTCATTTCCTGTGTTAGTGTGTGTGCATATGCGTGTGCACAATACCACAGGGAACCTGTGGGCTTGAGGACAGTTTTGTAGAGTTGCTTTTCCCTACCTTTATGTGGGCTCCAGAGATCCAACTCAAGTTAGCAGGCTTTGAATCATGTGTTTTACCGGCTGAGCCATCTTGCCAGTCCCACATTTTTTTGTTTGTTTGTTTATTTCTCAATTTCATGTATAACCAGAACCTACTGGGTCCTGTGTCACTTGACTGTGATTTTAGGACTTGGGAAGTGGGGGCAGAATGATCATGAGTTCAAGGTCATCCTAATTTGTCTAGTGAGTTTGAGACCAGCCTTTGACACATCACACACCCACGCGCGCGTGCACACACACACACTCAAACAAATTCTGTACACAGAATTTGACCACGTATCGTATTCCTTTGGTTTAGGCCTTGGTTCCCTGTATCCACATGACTAGACCTTTTCTCCCACTGCAGTCTATTCTCAACTTAGCAGCCATAGTGATGCTTTTAAACCCCAAGCAGACTGTCATCTTTCCTGCACTCACACCTTCCAGTTTCATCCCGTCTGAGTACAGTCAGCGCTGTCTGCCTGGTCTGTAGTGCCCTGTGTGATCTGTTCCCCTTTGACTCACTACATACTCTTTCTGCTACACTGGAGCCTCGCAGTTCTGAAACCGGAGTGCACTGCTGTTCTCAGAATCGTTGTACGTGCTAGTCTTCTTAGCTGAAGTGATCTGCCCTCGGATTTTCAAGGTTTTCTCTCCATTTGTTCATTTACATATCTGCCTGAGTGAGACATCAGAGAAGCCTTTGTTGACCATTTCTACTAAAAATAATGCCACTCTCAATCTACTTCGCTGTTTTTCTCAACTCCGCAACTGATATAAAATTATTTGAATATTTGCCTATTTATCTTTTAGAGTGTAAGTCCATAAAAGTATCATTGTTGCTGAGTGTGGTGGCATACACTTTTAATCCCAGCACTTGGGAGGCAGAGATAGGTGGAGCTCTGTGAGTTCAAAACCACCCTAGTCTCCAGAGTGAGGTTTACGTTGGTGAGTTCTAGGCTAGCCAGAGCTACATAGTGAAACAACACAAAACAGAAACACCAACCACAAAGATTACCATTGCTGTTTTGTTCATTGTTGCATTCTAGTCTTCAGAGATTGTCTGGAACAAACCAGAGACTTTAATTTCTGTTAGATGAGTAACCTCCTTGACCTACCCTCGATACTCCAGGCTGGCCCCACACCTGTATACCCAGGCCAGCTTCAAACTCAGGTCTTCTTGCCTGTCTTTCAGGTGCTGGGGTTATAGGAGTACACCACAATTCTCAACAACAAGAAAGCTCTTCATTTATAGCTCTTAAAAATTTGCATACGGGGGCTGGAGAGATGGCTCAGAGGTTAAGAGCACTGGCTGCTTTTCCAGAGGTCCTGGATTCAATTCCCAGCACCCACATGGTGGTTCACAACAATCTATAATGAGATTTGATGTGCAGGCATATATGCAGGAGGAACACTGTATACATAATAAATAAATCTTTTAAAAATTTGCATACAGTAAATATTTAATTCATTTTACTTCTTAAGGTAAAATATCTTTTTTCATTATACATATACTTGTGTGTATAAATCAAGTCACTTTATGACATCAAGTCTTTTTTCTGTTTTATTTTTTGCACATAGTACACATAGAGAGATTAGAGCAAGTACACATAGAGAGATTAGAGCAAGTACACATAGAGAGATTAGAGCACACCTTGTGGGCACAGGGCTCAAACTCAGGTCAGCAGGCGTGGCAGCAGGTGCTTGACCCACTGAACCATTGCATGGGTCACAACAGCTATTTATTAAACTAGGTGTGATGGCTTGTCCTATAATCCATGGGGCTGAGGCAGAAGGATCTTTGTGAGTTAGAGGCCAGCCTGGGCAATATAGTGAAAGCTGTCTAAAGCAATTTGTTACGCCATTATATACTTTGATGCTATGTAACTACATCCTAAAATTACTAAAAAAAAGTTTTTTGTTTTTTGTTTTTTTATAAATAGGCATTTAAATCAGCAGAAAAGAAAACAAAGCAAACCTTAAAAGAAGTACAAACAGTTACTTCTATCCAGAAGGCAAGAAAAGTGTATTGGTAAGTGTTCTGCTCTTTTTCATATTTTGGGTTTTTTTTATTGGAATTATATATGCATATTATTTGGAAAGTCAGGCAATTATACAGCGCTAGCTATAAAACCAGTAGTCTTATCTCTCTTCACCCTTACCCATTGCCTGCTCTCCCAAGGAAACTACTTTACAGTTTTAGTTCTTTCTATTTATTTCCTTATCCATTTATTTCTTGTGTGGGTGTGTAAACGGGGAAACGTGCCATGGAGCACATGGGGAGGTCAGTGGACAGACAGCTTTCAGGATTGCTTCTCTCCTTCCTCCATGTGGGTCCTAGGAATTGAGCTCACGTTTGATGGCACACACACACACACAGCTTGTTTTTGTTTTTAGGTGAGGTCTCATTATGTTGCCTAGGTGCGTCTTGAACACCTGGGCTCAAGCACTCTTCCAGCCTCAGCCTCCTGAGTAGATAGGCTCAGTTGTATGGCACTGCACTAGCTAGTGCCCACACCCCCATCTTCATCATGACCAGCCTTTCGCCAGCCCGCAGGTATCCACCCTGTAACCTTGGATGGACTTGGCAGGCTGTCTGCGGCCTGAGCTTTAGCTCCAGCTCCTCAGTCGTTTCAGCAGCTGATGCTTTGTGCCTTCTGCAGAGCTCTTATGTAGTGGACCTCCACCCCCGCCCCAAATCCCCTTACAGCCTCAGAATTTCATGGATAGGAGTTGGGGAAAATGTTTTAGTCTGTCATGCTACATACTTTGTGGGCCCTTTTAGTTTGGAAATTTAAGTTCTGAGACACTTTCTTGACGGTTTTTTCCTCCCTGTGTGTTTAATGCGTGCATGTGGAGTGAGGGGTGAGGTGGGTGATGGCATTCCTTCTGAGTCAGAGGACAATTTGTGGGAATCTCTTCTCACTTTCTGCTCTGTAGGGATTGAACTCAAAGGCAAGCACCTCTACCCACTCAGTTATTTGCTGGCCCCTTTGTATAGTTCTCTTAATGTATTTCCTTTTCTGTGTTTCCATATGGAGCCTTCTGAATGGGTTCTCCAATTTTCAACTCGGTGTCTCTTTTCTGCACATTCTCAGTGATGTTTTCAATTTTATCTTTCAGTTCTTCGGCAGAATTTCTTACCTGAGCTGTCTCTCTTGTATGTGCTCACAGCTGTGTACACAGAGGTCAGGAGACCTCTAGTGCTCTCTACTTTTGTTGTTTTTTGTTTTTTTGAGACAAGGTCTCACTTTGTAGTTCTGGTTGGTCTGAAACTCACTTTGTAGACTGGTCTTGAACTCACAGATGTGCCTGCCTCTTCCTCCTGAGTGCTGGGGTTAAAGCGTGTACCACCACACCTGGCTTCTCTAACTTACTTTTTGAGACAGGGTCACTGAATCTGGAGCTCTGCATTTTGACCAGACCAGCTGCCCATCGAGGCTCCAGGTTTCTCTTCCCACACCCTCTCTCTGCACTGGTGTTACAGTTGTGTGCTGCCTCTCCCAGCTTTTTGTGTGGGTGCTGGGGATCCAAACTAAGGTTCTTGTGCAGTACTGTACTGGCTGAGCAAGCTCCTGAACTTCCTGTCAGGTTTTCAAGGGCTAATTAGTTGGTTGGTTTCTCCAAGTACTCTGTAGAAGCTTTGGTTTGTGTATTGCTGTTTGCTGGGTTGTTCTTTGGTTGTTGATCAAGAGTCTTATTCTATAGCACAAGCTTTCTAAACTCCATTAGGTAGACCAGGCTGGACTATGTAACTGAAGCAGTCCTACTTTTACAGACCCAAGGCTGGGCACCAGTCCCCAGTGCGTATTACTTACTCTTTTTTCCCCTATCAATTACAACTTCTCCAAGTTGTTATAGTTTATTTTATTGTATATATGTTTGTTTTGTTTTGTTTTTGTTTTTCGAGACAGAGTTTCCTGGAACTCACTCTGTAGACCAGACTGGCCTCAAACTCAGAGATCCACCTGCCTCTGCTTCCCGAGTGCTGGGATTAAAGGTGTGTGCCACCACCGCCCGGCTTTTATTGTATGTATTTTAAAGTATACAACGTGAAGTTTTCATGTTTAACATGCACAGTGAAATGATTATCACATCCAAGCATATCTACCATAGGCTAGGTGTGGTGGTGCACGCCTGTAATCCCAACAGTTGGGAAACTGAGGCTGGAGATTTGTCATGAGTTCATGAACCAACTTGGACTAAAAAACAAGTACTTGGCCAGCCAAGACTTCAGAGCAAGATCCTGGCTCAAACATAGGGGCTGTTGATCAGGCTTGGTGGGGGTAAAGTAGCTGCCAGGCCTGCTACTCTGAGCTTAAGCTCCAGGAGCCCTTATGCATATGTCCAAGGAGAGAGCACCTACAGGTTGTCCTCTGACCTTCACTCATGGGTGATCCTGCACAGAGAGAGACAGACAGACAGACCGACAGGCACTGGACATATAAATGTAGTTTTAGAAAAAAAAGGTTTAAAAAGCAAATTTCTATTTATCATGTTTCATTGAATACCCATTTTGTAGTTGTTTGGTGATAATACTCTGATCAAATTTCCAGTGTACAATAAGCTAATTCTTCTCTTCTCCTTTTCTCTTCTGTTTCTCTGTCTTGACAGGGTCTCACTGTGCAACATTGGCTGCCCTATAACTCCTAGAGATCCACCTGCCTCTGCCTCCCAAGTGCTGGGATTAAAGGTGTGCGCCACCACACCTGGCTTTACAATTCTAATTATTAATTAATTATATATAGTCCTCATGTTGTACATTAGATCTACAGATTTGTTCAGCCTGCATAACTTTAACTCTGTGACCTTAGAGTTATATTTGCCTTATGACCTTGCTTGCCTACCCTCTTTTTTCCTGGAATGTCCAGCTTTCGTAGGAGAGACATTCATTAGTATTTGGTGCCCCTTGTTGTCACTCACATTTCAGAGGAGGATATTGAAATGCTAATGAGATGTTCTCTGGGTGGTTGGGCTTGTAACATGATCTCTGGTACCTGTTTGTGTAGACCTCTCAGTCTAATATGATGGATTCTTTCTCATTTATCAAGTTTTGTTGTATTTCTTGTTTCCCTTTTCTTTCTGCTGAATTTGATTACATTTGACATCTCTATTGATCAGTCTGACCTATAATTCTCATTTTCTTTGTAGTGTTCTTATCAGGTAGTCATATCAAGGTCATAGTGCCTCATAAAACAAGCTAGAAATGTTCTTTTTTGAGTTGTCTTTAAATGTGGATCAAATTTTCCTGTAAAATGGAGTAGTCCTGAAAGTGTTTCAAAAGCCTGGTATGGTGATGCACACCTTTAATCCTAGCGCTCAAGTGGATCTGTGAGTTCGGGGACAGACAGGACTGACTTCACAGAGAAACCGTCTTGGGCGGTGGGAGGGAAGAAAGTATTCCATTACAAATACGGTTTTGTTTTGTTTTTTAAGACCAGGTCAGTCTGTCTGTCTTTGGCTGATCTGGAACTCACTGTGTAGGCCAGGCTGACCTGCTACAACCTCCCAAATACTCTAGATTATAGGCCTGCATCAGCCGACTCTGCCTGGCTTTCTTTGTAGAATTTGACTCTTTAGATTCTCTAGTTGTAGTAATCGGGGTTTTTCTCAGAAAGTTTATAATAATTCTACTTAAGAACTTAATATAATTATGGGTTTGTCCATTTCTCCTTTTCTGCCAGGTTTGCTTTATGTGAGGCTGTAATAGGTACAGATGTGGAACTGTTATCTAGTTGGGCTTCTTTTCATTAGTGTGTGCGTGCTCTATTTATTTCAGTCTTTCTGTAACCTGTATTTTACACACGCCCATACACGCTGTTATTATTATTTTCTGACCTGATAGTTTCCCATGTTTTACTGAGGGCTCTTACTATATTTATGCCACACGTAACTTCTTGTTATTTGCAGCTTACACACACCCATCTTGCTGTCTGCTTTCTGTTTGTTCCATCTGTCCTGTATTTGTCTTTCTTATTGCACATTGGCTAGTCTTTCCTGACTTCTATATTAGTTCCCTTTCTCATTGTTGTGACAGAATACTAGGAAAAAGCAAATGAAGAAAGTGTTTATTATGGCTCCTCCACAGACCTGTATGCTGAGGCGGGGGCATGGCAGGGAAGGCATGGTGGCTGGAACAGGAGGCAGCTAGTCACACTGTGTCCATAGTCAGGAAGCAGAGAGAGAGGAAGGCAAGTGTTCAGCTCGCTTTCTCCTTTTATTAGTGCAGGAGCCCAGCCCATGGGACTGTGCCACCCATATTCTGGGTGGGTCATCCCTCTTCAATTACACCTTTTGGAAACACTCTCTTGGATACACTCAGACGTGTGTTGGTTCCTTGGTGATTCTGAATTCACTCAAGTTGACAAGTAACATTAACTGTCATAGCTTCTTAATTATATATTCCTCTTCAAGTGTGTGTTCTTTTACTAGGCTATTTTAGGGTATGTGTTTTATCTCTCCTACTCTGTCTGCTTATCCTTGTTTCTCTATAGATATCTTTTCTGGCAGTCGTGGAATTAAAAAAAGAATTAAAGGCATTCACCAAGGATATTTTGTGTGAAAAAAGAAAGATGTAGAACATTTGTATTACAATGAAAAATGACAATGCTGGAATAAATGTTTTGGCTTCTTTGTACATAAAGAAACTAGAGTTCTGTATGCAGGAGCTAACCGGTTAGACAGTGATGAGAAGCTGAAGGGATGCACCATGTCTTTGTGTAAACCTTGCCCTGCTGTTTTTGAACCAGTGTATACTTCCCAGTCAGAAACCAGATTGGGGCGTAATGCCAGCACTCAGGAGGCAGAGGCAGACATGTCTCTTTGACTTTGAGGACTGCCTCGTCAACATAGTGAGACTCGGTCTCAAAAACACCACCATCAACAAAATTAGATTACAGGAAAGGGATGTAACTCATTAGCTAAAGTACTTTCCTGACTTTGCCAAGTTCCTGGGTTGTATCTCTGACAATGCTAAAAACATGGAAAAAAAAAATATGAACTAGGCACAGTGTCATATTTTTATAATCCTGGCACTCATGAAGTTCAGGCAGGATGATCGTAAGTTCAGGACTAGCCTGAGTTACTTCGTTGTGACCATGTCTCCAAAACAAAAATGGATGGGGGATGTTGCTCAGTGGTAGAGCATTTGACCATCATGTCCAAGTCCCTAGACATCAGTCAAAATTAACTCAAGTTCTGTCTCCAGCAACAAATAAGTAAATAAACCAAAAAAGAAAAACTTTTCATATTGTATTTTGAGGGATGTATTTTTTTAAGATCTATTTATTTATTATGTACACAGAAGAGGGTGCCAGATCCCATTACAGGTGGTTGTGAGCCACCATGTGGGTGCTGGGAATTGAACTCAGGACCTCTGAAAGAACAGTCGGTGCTCTTAACCTCTGAGCCATCTTTCCAGCCCCCTTGATAGATTATTGCTTGATGTATATATGTCATATTTTAATTGGAAGTTTTTGGTTCTATAGATTGACTTATATAGAAGATATCTGTTATATATAATATAGCAAATCTTTATTTTCATCTATGTTGTCTGTCATTTTCTAAATGTCATATAAACACTTACTGTTAGACCTTCTTTTATTTAATTTTATCTTTATAAATATGGCTCTTAAACATGTATGTAGGTCTGTACTCTACCCTGAAGTGTCAGATCCCCTGGTACTGGAGTTACATATGGTTGTGAGCTGCCATGTTCATGCTGAGAATCAAACCCAGGTCCTCTGGAAGAGCAGCGTGTGCTCTTAATCCCTGATCCATCTCTCCATCCTTTTATTCTTTCTACCCTAATAATAAATTAATGAGAACCTCAGTTATTTTGTCTTTTGAGAAAAGCTATATAATGTGACCCTGTTGGAGGGGAGACACATGTCAAAGGGAATGATGAGACAGGGTGTCTTAGTTAGGGTTTCTATTGCTGTGAAGAGACACCTTGACCACGGCAACTCTTATAAAGAAAACATTTAATTGGGGTGGCTAATAGTTTTAGAGGTTCAATCCATTATCATAGCAGGGAGCATGTGGTGTGCAGGCAGACATGGTACTGGTTGCATTTTGATCAGGAGATAACAGTGCAGACTGAAGCTCCGGGTGTGGCTTGGGTCTATACGAGGCCTCAAAGCCCACCCCCACAGTGACACATTTTCTCCAGTAAGGCCACACCTACTCCAAATAGTGCTACTCCCTGTGAGTTTATGGGGGCCAGTTACATTCCAATTATCACACAGGGTCTCCCTTGGTAGCCCAGGCAGGCCTTGCACTTTGATTCTCTTGGTTCACCCTCCCAAGTGCTGGGATTACAAGTATCTACCACCCCCGCCTGGCAGTTTCTTTCTTTACCATGGTCCAGAGTCTATTTAGTATCCCATTGAAGGAAAGCTGGATCTTAGGGCATTTGATATTTTGTACTTTTTGATTTGTATAATTAACTCATTGTTATGCCATCCCTATGTTTAAGAATGCTGCCTATATAGAATAAAGAAATAATTTGGGAGCTGGGTAGATGGCTTAGTGGTTAAGAGCACTTACTGCTCTTCTAGAGGAATGGAGTACAGTTCTCAGCACCCACATTGTACAGTTTACAATCTTCTGTAACTCGAGCTCCAGGGGCTTCAGTACCCCCTTTTGGACTCCCTGGGTGTTGGTGGAAGTTTCTGTTCCACCAACACCTCCAAAATACTCAGCAGCCACTTCCCAAATTACCACACAGAAGCTTATATTAATTATAACTGCTTGGCCATTAGCTCAGGTTTATTACTGACTAGCTTTTACACTTAAATTAACCCATAATTCTTATCTATGTTTAGCCGTGTGACTTGGTATCTTTTCTGAGTTTGGTATTCTCATCTTGCTTCCTCTGCATCTAGCTGGCAACTCCTGACTCCGCCCTTCCTCTTCCCAGCATTCTTTGTTTGCTCACTCTGCCTACACTTCCGGCCTGGCTACTGGTCAATCAGCATTTTATTAAACCAGTTGGAGTGACAAATCTTTACAGTGTGCAAGAGAATTATCCCATAGCACCTGGGCACCTGCTTTCACGTGTACATATCCATAAACGGATGCACACATGAACATACACCTATAATTTTAAAAAGGTTTTAAAGAAATAGAGCCAGGCAGTGGTGGTGCACACCTTTAATGCCAGCACTGGGGAGGCAGAGGCAGGCGGATCTCTGTGAGTTTGAGGCCAACCTGGTCTACAGAGTGTGCTCCAGGACAGCTAGGGCTGTTACATAGAGAAACTCTTGTCTCGAAAAACCAAAACAACAACAAACAAACCAAAAAACCCCCACAAAACAACAGCAGCAAAAATAAGAGGAACCATCTTGAAAAACCAAAAGAAAAATTAAATAGAAATAACTTGGTTTGTGGGTTGTTGTTTTTCTGATAGCTTAATATAGCCTAGGCTAGCTTTAAATCCAGTATATAGCTGTGGCTGGCTCTGAAAAGCTCGATTCTCTAGCCTCTTCCAAGTGCTAGGAACTTAGGTATGTCTCACCCGCCATGCTTAGATGTTTTTTCCAGAATTCATTTAGTTCATCCTCCTCTTCTTCCCCATCTTGTCCTCCCTGACCCCCACTCCCCAATGACAAGGTCTCACTGTATCAGTGGGTGTCATAGAACTCATCCCTATGTTTAAGAATGCTGCCTATGTCCCTTACCTCTGCCTCCCCAGTGCTGGCATGCACCACTATGCCCTGCCAGAATGTAGTTTCTTTAAGACTGTTGTAAAAAATACATTACAGGTTCTTAATTTTTTAAATTTTTTTTTAATTTTTTAAATGTTTGTTTTTAATTTTTTTTTTAAATTTTTTAAAAATTTTACTTGGTCCTTGAAAAGTAATTGGATTGTTGATATTTTGTTCTATATAGTAATGACAGCTTCCTATTTTGTTATATTTTGTTTTAAAAGTGGTATGAATTCAGGCAGCTATAAAGAAAAAATGTTAACTTTATTTTCTTTCAATTTGATAGGTTTGAGAAATTTCTGTGGTTCATTAGCTCAGAGAACTATTTAATTATAGGTGGTCGAGATCAGCAACAGAACGAGATCATCGTGAAAAGATACTTGACACCAGGTAAGATTAAAATCTATGAAAATTTCTCTTAAATGATTTATCAATTATTTCATTAATAGGCACTGGTTTTCATCTTATTCTCTTGTTTGACAGAATTGGGGGTTTAATGCTCTACGGTTTACAGTTGCTTGGAGAAGTCTTTGCCAGATCTTAAGTGGGTATTACAGAAATAGTATTGATGAGCTAATCTGTGTTGTTGGGCGTTTGATCTGCTGTATTTACAAAATAGTTTCCAGTTCTCTGAGTGATGGTGGATCAACATTTTTAAAGCTTAGTGTTTAAGTGCTAAAGTCTGTGACCATTTGTCCAGCGTACATGCTGGGTGTGTAGTGCATGCCTGTAATTGCAGCTGCTAGAGGCTAAATCAGGAGGACCACTTGACCCCAGAAGTCCCAGAGTAACCTCAGAGCATAAAGAGACCCTGTTTCAAAACCAGGAAAGAAGCAGGCAGGAGAGGTGGCCCAGCACTTACGAGCACTGATGACCGTCGCAGCTACCCTGAGTTCAGTTCCCAGCAATCACATGGGTGCTCCACACCACCTGTAACTACAGTTCCACTCCCTTCCATGGGTGCTGCATGTGGGTAGTTCACTTACGTCCGGGCAGGCAGAACGATTGTGATAGGAAATAGAAGACTGAACGGGTTGATAACTAAACCTAGCAATATCTCTAGAACATGGCCTAGCACGTATACAGAGAACATAAAATCTTAAAGTAGAAATTTAGAAGAAAACAAAACAAAAACCAACCAAACCAAAAGAAAGAGGACCTCAAGTATTATTTCACATTTGTCTTTCTTTAAGGAGATATTTACGTGCATGCTGATCTTCATGGAGCTACCAGCTGTGTGATTAAGAATCCAACAGGTACTATAAGTCCATTATCTGGAAATTTCTTTCCTTAACATTTTTTTTGTTTGTTTTTAGTTATGTATATGTGTGAGTGCATGTGTGGGAATGTGCACATGTGATCCATGCAGGTGCCAATTGTGTCCAGAACAGAGTGTAGAATCCCCTGGGTAGAGTCACAGTCACAGGGACATAAACCATTTGGGCTCTGGGGACTGGCCCCAGGTCCTCTGCCAGAGCAGTATGCATTAACTGCTAAGCCATCTCTTTGGCCTCCTGAAAACATTTTTAATGTTACTGATAAACAAGAATTAATATTCAGCTCCCAGTGTTGTAAACAACAAAAAAAGAGATGAAGAAAGATTGTAATGATAATGAGAACATTGCATGAATGTAAGAGTCATAACTAATGATAATGAGAACATTGCATGAATGTAAGAGTCATAACGTGTGTCTGACACATATATATGTGTCCTATACTAAATGAAACATACAGTAATGGGGTGGGTAGACACAGGTACATACAGTAATATTTGGAAATGTCAACATTGAACATGAACAAGAATAGAATAAACAGTAGATTAACAAGGAAGTAGAAGACTTGAACAGATTGATAACTAAACCTAACAATATCTCTAGCACACAGCCTAACAAGTATACAGAGAACATTCTCTACATAGACCAGATGATAGAAACAGAAAATTGGGGGGAAAATTCATAACAAGTAAAGAGATTGAAAGACTTCATAAAGAAAATTCCAGCTAGGCAATGTTGGCGCACTCCTTTGATCCTGGCAATCAGGAGGCAGAGGCAGGCAGACCTCTGTGAGTTTGAGGCCAGCCTGGTCTACAGAGCAAGTTCCAGGACAGCCAAGGCTACACAGAGAAACCTGTGTTTTTAAAAAAAAACAAAAAACAAAAACAAACAAACAAACAAACAAACGGACAAAAAGAAAAAAAAGAAAATCCCCAGACTTAGATACCTGAATTGATGAATCTTTTAGTTAAAACAAACAAACAAACAAACAAAAACTAGTGCTTCAAAAAACTCTTCCTTCCAAATAAGAGAGATAGGAATACTTCCTGGTTCATTCTATCAGCTGGTATTTCCTAGTAATAAAACCCAATAAGTACATCACTAGAAAAACAGCAGCTTCACTTCGAGTACAGGCACAGAAATCCTTCACACGGTATAAGCAGCCTGAATCTAGCAACAGTCTGAAAGGATTATGCACCATGTGCTTTATTCCAGATTTCAATTGATGTAGAAAAATCATTGGTAAGCTGTGTGTGGTCACGTACACATGAAATCTCAGTACTCTGGAGGTTGAGGCAGGAGAATCTCCAAATTTAAGACCAGACTAGACTACATAGTGAGATTTTGGCATTAAAGTAAGTCATTTGATATGGGAGGGCCCAGCCCATGGTGGGCGGGGATAGCCCTGTGCTGGTGGCCCTTGCTGCTGAAGAAAGCAGGCTGAGCAAGCCATGAGAGCAAGCCAGTAAGCAACACCCTCCATGGCCTCTGCATCAGCTCCTGCCTCCAGGTCCCTGCCCTGCCTGAGTTCCTGCTTTGGCTTCTTCCAGTGGACTACAACACTGGATATGCTAGCCAAATAAATCCTTTCCTCCCCAATTGCCCTTTTTTTTTTTTTTTTTTTTTTTTTGGTTATGTTTTATCACAGCAGTAGAAGTAGAAACCCAGACTAAGACAACAATAAAATGAAAGTTAAAATGCTCAAATTGACAAGCAGTAAAACTCTTGTACCCAAACTATCTTTTACATACGCATGCACACACACACACACACACACACACACACACACACACACACACACACATAATTTGTTTGGTGTATATGTGTGTGTGTGTTTGCTTTGGTTTTTGGAGACAGGGTCTCTATATATGGAGACACTTAATCATGTAGACCAGGCCAGCCTCAAACTCTGAGATATCCACCTGCTTCTGCCTCCTAAAAAACAAAACAAAACAAAAACACACAACTAAGGACCAGAATTTGAGTTATAATAAAAAACAACAATGTTCACACAGCCTATGATGAATACAAAATAAGTTGTAACTAAGGATGGTGGCACAGGCCTGCAATTCCAACAACTGTGAAGGAGAGGCAGGAGAATCAGGTGTTCCAGGTCATTCTTAACCAGTCTGGGCTTTGTGAGACTCTGTACCAAAAAAAGAAAAGAAAATACATTGTATTTCTCCATACTAGTGTCTTAGTTACTTCTCTATTATTGTGACACCATGACCAAAACAACTTATTAAAGAGTTTAGTATAGACTTGCATTTCCAGAGGGTTAGGAGGTTTTGGTGATAGACAAGCCACCAGAGGCGTGGTGGTCACTGGAGCAGCAGCTGAGGGCTCACGTGCAGATCCACAGACAGGAGAGGGCAGGAGGCTTTGAAACCTGAAGCCCATCCCCACTGACACACCTCCTTCAACAAGGCTACACCTCCCACCCCCATCCTTCCCAGACAACCACCAGCTGGGAATCAGGTATTCAAATGCCTGAGACTTAGGCGGGGGTGTCTCACTGAAACCACCACAACTAGCAATGAATAAACTGATAAACTAGGCATAATTAAATTAAATAAAATAAGGAGTATGAGGATGTAGTCAGTAGAGTGTTTGTCTAACATGCATTAATCGCCAGTGCCACATAGACCAGGCATGATGGTGCAGGCCTATAATCTTAGTATTCAAGAAGCAGAGGTGAAAGGATCAGAAATTCAAAGTAATCCTCAGCCACATAGCAAGTTTGAAGCCTGCCTGGGCTGTATAGACCTTATCTTTAAAAAGGAAAAAATAGTCATGGATCAGTGGTATAATACTTTTCTAACATGCATAAAGCCCTGGCTTTTAATCCATAATTCCGTAAAATTAGTCATAACCTTGCCAAGATAGAGAAGGGTGTAGGTAAAATCTGTGAAATATTAAAGGAAAGGAAAGAAAGCCAAGTGTGGCAGAGCATACCTATAATCCCAGGAGCAGAGGCAGGAGGACCACTCTAAATTCTAGGCTAAACACAAAAGGCTACAAATAATTCCATTTATCTGAACTTTGCAAAATATGTACAGAAAGTAACTTAGTGATTGCAGGTAGCTGAGTTTGGAAAGGAACATTGCTTTGGGTGGGGCGGGGGTGGGGGGGTGGGATGGGGTTGTGATAATGTTTTGGAATTATATAGTGGCAGTGGTTACACTGCATTGTCTCATGCTCATGAGCACACACACACAAGTAAATAAATGTAAAAAGTAAAACTTTCGGTAGCTAACACTGCAACAACAGGTGGGTAGATAGGTAGATAGAATCTGGAAATAAAATATGGTATAAATATTCAAGATAGAAGATGATTAAAACTGTTGTACTAAGTATAACTTTGGTGTCTTGCTCTGTAGAAACCCTGTACTTTGATATTGAAACATAGCATTGCTGTTATAGGAGAACCCATCCCTCCACGGACTTTGACTGAGGCAGGCACAATGGCACTTTGCTACAGTGCTGCTTGGGATGCACGAGTTATCACTAGTGCTTGGTGGGTGTACCATCATCAGGTAATAAGGGCTGTGGTCCATTTTCTTAATCTCTTGAGCTATACCTCATTACAAATGGTTAGGCTATAGAAGGTAGATAAAGTACCTACCTTGATAAAGTTTATGTTTAAGCAGTAGAGAAAAATATATGCATACCAGGTGGCAAGTGCTGTGAAGGAAAAAGCCAAATTTCTCCTTTGGGTTTTTGAGGCAGCGTCTTCCTGTATAGCCTTGGCTGGCCTGGAACTTGCTATGTAGACCAGGCTGGTCACAAAGATGATCTACCTGCCTCTGCTTCCCGAGTGCTGGGATTAAAGGTATGTAGCACCATATCCAGCTTGATTCAAATTTTTCTGAATTCTCTTTTGCCCTTCCAGAAACTAGGTCTAACTTGTGTTTTATGTATTCATTTGGTTTTAGTGATTGCCCTTCTTTATGTTCAGTGCTGTTGAATTTGCTTTTGTATACCTGTTTGATTCTGTTTTTTTCATACTGAAGAGTGCACTTAGAGACTCATACATTCTAAGCAAGTGCCCTTAGTCCCTTTGTTACTTTTACTTTGTGAGGAGATCTAAGCTCCTCCAACTGGCAGTGAACTCACTGTATCCCACACAGAATTTGAACTCTCAGTCCCCTACCTCAGCCGTCCAGATAGCTGGGACTCCAGGCCTGTGCCACCAAGCTCAGCTGTTAGTGCTCTTTGATATTACCATTTCATAGTTGACTTCCCATTGCAAATAGATCCACATTTTCAAGAGTTATAGTTGATAATGATGCATTAATTCTACAAGAATCAGAAATTATGTGGTGATTAAAGAATATCATCCTTGAGATTTATTTCATTTTATATTTATTTGCTATTCTGTGATGTGGTTTTAGGAAATTAATATACTTGAGGGATAATACTTTATTTTAAGGCCTTTGTTTAAAATTTATTATGAATACAATGTTCCATCTGCATGTATGTCTGCACACCAGAAGAGGGCGCCAGATCTCATTACAGATGGCTGTGAGCCACCATGTGGTTGGTTGCTGGGAATTGAACTCAGGACCTCTGGAAGAGCAGCCAGTGTTCTTAACCTCTGAGCCATCTCTCCAGCTTAGGGATAATACTTTATACCTCTACTGTTAGTTAAAGTGGTTTTCTAACTGCTCATAACTAATAAAATACACTCAAATTTAGAAAATTCACAAATATGTAAAATCTTTGGAATAAGCTCGCCCACTTTGTTTTACCAAACTATATTTTAAAAAATTCTGTTATCTTTATTTCCTTCTAGGAAAAGCTGTTTTAGCAACTGGGGAGGTGGCTCAGTCAGTAAAGACCCTTGTCATCAAGCGTCCTTGCAAGCTGTCTTTTGACCTCTACAGTGCAGCGTGTACACACACACACACACACACACACACACACACACACACACACACACACAAATTGTTAAAGTTTGGGAGCTGGAGAAATGGATTACAGGTTAAGAGCTCTGGCTGCTCTTCCAGAGGTCCTGAGTTCAATTCTCAGCAACCACATGGTGGCTCACAACCATCTACAGTGAGCTCTGGTGCCCTCTTCTGGTATATGTATACATAATAAATAAAGAAATCTTTTTAAAAAAGAAAGGAAGGAAGGAAGGAAGGAAGGAAGGAAGGAAGGAAGGAAGGAAGGAAGGAAGGAAGGAAGGACTTTCAAAGCCAGGCATGGTGGTGGATGCCTTTAATCTCAGCACTCTTGAGTTTGAGGCAAGCAGCCTGGTCTACAGAGTGAGTTCCAGGACAGCCAGGGCTACACAGAGAAACCCTGTCTCGAAAAACCAAAGCCACAAACAAAACAAACTTTCAAAATATTTTTTTTTAAGGAAAAGAAAAGCTGTTTTACTATCAAAAAGAATCCTGGGAAAGGATTTGAGTGACTGTAACTTTATCTTCCAGTAAGGTTTTGTGCTAAACTTATTAAACTTATTCTTTTCTCATTGTATCCTATGCTGGAAGAAAAAGCTAGTTTCAATCTAGTCCATGTCATTTTATTGGACTAGTAGATCTTTTGTTATTTCTTTATAATGTTGTCAAGTATATCTATCATTGGGAGGATATATCTGTGTCTGCAGTGTTGAGAATTTTTGCTAAATTACAAAGTTTTCAGGACTTAGAGTTGCTTGCTTGAATATGATTATTTGCTCCTCTTGGGTAGAAAATTTTTGAAAAGAACATCTTCGGAGACTAAAGATGGAATTGTGTTGGGTACAAGGCCTTCCTAGCATGCACAAAGCCCTGGCTTTAATCCCCAGCACCACTTACAGGAGGCATGGGAGGCACAATGGTAATCCCAGCGTTCGGAGGTGGAGGGACTTGAAATTCAAGGTCATCTTGAGTTACATAGCAAGTTCAAGGCCAGCCTGTAAGAACTGAGAGCCTGTCTGTCTCACTTCTTTCTTTAGATAAGAATATAATGCATTCTTGTGTTCCTCAGGTGTCCAAAACAGCACCAACAGGAGAGTATTTGACAACCGGGAGCTTCATGATAAGAGGTAATAGCTTAATGTGAAAAATAGCCTTAACTTGTATTATGGAGGCAAGAGCCATTTTACAGATATTCTTGAGTAGAAATGGACTGCTGTAATTGCACATACAACTTTATGTATAGGAAATAAGGGAATTTTTTCCTTGGCATGGCAAATTTCAGCATTTGTCATCATCACACATTTATTGATGAAAAAGAATTATAGCCTGACCTACTTTTTTTTTTTTGGTTCTGACAAACCCAAAAGGTGGGGGCAAGTATTCATACTTTCTCTTGATAATTACTCCTATACATAATAGTATTTTAAATGCTTATGTCTAGTACAAGGTAAAGATGGATATAATCATTGGTATATAATACTTTCAGACATAAAAGTGAAGAAAACTGATTTTTTATAACACTAATATGTATTATCGTTTACAGGAAAAAAGAATTTCCTTCCTCCTTCGTATCTAATGATGGGGTTTAGCTTCCTTTTTAAGGTACTCGTCTTCACTTTCTGTGGGCTTCCTTTGTATATACTCTCACTAAAGTTCAGCAGTGAGGAAGAACTCTTTCTCCAGGTAGATGAGTCTTGTGTTTGGAGACATCGAGGTGAACGGAAAGTCAGAGCCCAGGATGAAGACATGGAAACCCTGACAAGCTGCACAAGTGACCTCATGTCGGAAGAGATGGAACCACTAGGTAGTTGACATGCTATAGTAAATGGCTTGTGATTTGTGTGTGTGTGTGTTCATGTGCACGTGTGTGGGAAGCCAGAGGACAGCCCTGGGTGTTTCTTGGGCACTGTCTGCTTTCTCTGGAGACTGAGCTTCTTTCTGGTCTGGAGCTTGCTGATTAGGCAAGGCTGGCTGGGCAGCGAGCCTGCTCCTTATTACCATCGCTGCTGGGATTACAAGCACGCGCCACCACACCTGATTTGTTGCTGGTCTCCCCTCACGTGGTCTCCTGGAAGAGAAGCACTTGGCCAGCTAAATCGTCGTCTCCCCGCCAGGCTTGTGACTTTGTTTTCCTCCTGAGACGACTGTAGCTCTGGCTTACCTGGAGCCTATCCTATGGATCAGGCGGCATTGAACTTGCATCAGTCCTCTGGCTTTGTGTCTCAATGCTAGGATTCTAGAATTCATCGTCAGGTCTAGTCAAGCCTCATGAGGTTCACTCTCTGGTTTTATTTCTAAATCTTAAGAAATTGTGTCTCTTCTGTGATAACCAGAATTTCAAAAATAGCCCAAAATACTATCAATTTTACTGATTTTTGTTTCTGGAAATGCTGAATTTTTTTATACTAGGGATTGAAAAAATATTCTAATGAATTAAAAAATAGTTAATGAAATACATCACCAAAATACTTTTGGTAAAATTTGAGCATTTAATGGATATCTTTAAATACATTTAACAGATAAACTTGGATAAATAGGAATTAACATTTCCTTTTGGGTTTAGGAGTTAGAAATGATAGGAAGATGAATTTATATCAAGTATAATTTCTAATATGAGAGTTTTGGTTCAGGCCAGGCTTTTGACTACCATCCTGACTCAGTTTTCAAATACTGATATTACAGGTATAAGCCAGTATGCCCAGCTTTGATTGTTTTTTTTTTTTTTTTTAATAATATATTTGCCTCAAGTAGAGAGATCTACTACCTAAGGAACTTAGAGAAAGGGTACCGTGAACTACTTCTGTGGTTATTCTCTCTCCTAGGGTCATTTCTTTTTGGAGTCACATTGCATTGCTTAATTTAAAACTACTAAGTATTAGAGTCTATTGATTGATTCCTATCATGTCCCTGTCATAAAGTGATATATGAAAAACAATAATATATATATATTACTTAATTTCATGATAATCCTTGAAAGATGGCAATTGGACCATTATTATTAGTTATAATATATATTATTATATATTATAATATATATAATAACCATAGTTATTAGTATTAGTATTCTTTTCGCTTAAGTGTGAAATTAGTTATATAATGTATCTTGGATTTCATTTACAAATTAATAAAACTTTAGAATTTAAAGAACTACTTTTACCGTCTTGCCTTTTAGAAGTAGCTGTGACAGAAAACTTAGGTTTGTTACAGAAATAATAGCAATGTCTATCTGTGGTGGAGTGATCTTGGTCATGTAAGAACTGTCCTTTTGTCAGAATAGAGTGTAGTACATTGTGGAGATGGCCAGGAAGTTTTGGTGACCTTTTGGGCAACCTAGGAACTGTCGGGGTCCCATAGCCTCGGTGGGAGCTGCATTACTGACTCTCCTGATGGACTTCCACAGATGGGGATGACAGCAGTGAGGAGGAGAAGGAGGAGCTCCACAGAGCTCCTGGAGAAGGAGAACTCAGGACTCAGCTCCAGCGGGAGGACGTGGCTGCTCAGAGGGGCCCGGATGAAGTGAGTGAGGAATTGGTACCCGAAGAAAGCTCTGAAGATGAAGAAGCCAACAAAGTCACAAAAGATGAGCCGGTTGGTGAAATGAAGGAGGAGGAGGAGGAGGAGGAGGAGGACACCTTCGATTACCCTGACACCACCATTGACCTGTCCCACCTGCAGTCCCAGAGGTAACTGGACAGAGTGGAGTTCCTTTATAGACTGGAAATGATGTTGAGGGAACCCATAAAACAGTGTCCTATGTTGCGTCATGCGCGGTTATTCAGGTCCTTCCACCCCCTCTGTGCTTTGACTTTTTCACCATTTGATTGGTCTCCTGCTAGAAGTGCCCCGACCACAGGAGAAAAGTACATAAAGTAGCCAGAGTAGGTCAGACTAGAAACCAGCAGGCTCTGGATCTGTCAGTGGTAGAGTGTTTGCTTTGCGTGCTTAGAAACCTGGGATTAAACCAGCATTGCAAGAGCAAATTATGATAATTTTTTTATTGTTGGTTTGGTTTTTGTTTAGCATTATTAGTAGAAGTCAAACAGACCAAAATTAAGTCTTTTAGGGTGTGTCTTTTTTTTTTTTTTTTGGTTTTGTGTCCTTTAGTAAGCTACTTTAAGCATTGATTTCTATCTTAGAAAATGGAGTATCCCTTTCACAGGGTTTCTGTGGAGCTTTTCGTGCACGGCATCTAGCAGCAGCTAGCACAGAGTGAGATATCAGCTGTACAAGTGGGTGTAATGCTGCGTACCTGAGATTGGAAGAACAAAAGTTCAAGGTCATCCCCAGCTACACAGAGAGTTCAAGGACAGTGTGTCTCTAAAAGATTCAATACATGTTACATGAAGAATGTATATAAAAGTGTGGGAAGATGATTTGGTTGTGTTTTGTCAAATTTGAAGGTTTGTAGGATTTTAAGTAAGAAGATGGGAATTTTAGGACTCTTAACTGAATGGCTTTCATAGGCTAGTTCTTGTTTTCATAGGCCTCTGCAGAAACTGGCTTCGAAAGAAGAATCTTCTAATTCAGTAAGCTATTTTTGAAGTTACGTTAAAAAAAATTGTGTTTCTTGGAATAATTTTCTCTTAAAATTTACTTTTTGAAAAAATGATAGTAATGGTCTCATGATTCCTTGCTTTTGTTTTTAATAGAATGACAGTAAGTCACAGAGCCGAAGACATTTGTCAGCCAAGGAAAGAAGGTAAAAGTGCTCTATGACTGAGTCCCGTGATGAGATGATTTAAAGGGTGAAAATGTGTGCTATAGGAGCGTGATAACCTAACTGATCGCAGATCCCATTGTAGGAGAGAACTGACTCCTGAAGGTTGTCCTCTGACCTCCACATGTATGCATGTGTGTGCCTGCATTCACACATTATCTACCCAGAAAAATAACCAATAAATTTAAACTTTAAAATAACTTAGCTAACACATATTGGACTATTTTGAAGACTCCTTAGTCACTAAAATTCTTTTTTGTTGCTGTTTTGTTTTTCAAAGCAGGGTTTTTTTTTTTTTTTTTTTTTGTGTGTGTGTAGCCCTGACTGTCCTGAACTTGCTTCTATAGACCAGGCTGGCCTAGATCTCAGAGATGCATCTGCCTCTGCCTCCCTAGTACTGGGATGAAAGGCGTGCGCTACCACCATTGGGGGCTGGAGAGATGGCTCAGTGGTTAAGAGCACTGGCTGTTCTTCCAGAGGTCCTGAGTTTGATTCCCAGCACCACATGGTGGCTCACAACCAACTATAATGAGATCTGGTGCCCTCTTCTGGCATAAGGACATACATGCAGGTAGAGCACTCATATACATAAAATAAATACATAAATCTTAACAGGAGAAAAAAAGGCATGCACTGCCACTGCCTGGCTATCAGCAAGATTGTTTTTGTCCAACTCTAATGTGGTTTTTTTGTATTTAAGACTCATCTGTGATAGGTGAGATAAATGGGTAGTAAAACAGACCTTTTATTACGTAAACATGGACAGTGATTATAGAACATTACGGATATAAATTTTTTAAAATTCATTTATAGTAGTTGTACAGATTAATGAATTTCACTGTGATAATTCCATACATTTCTATACCATGCTTTGATTTTTTTAAATTATTTATCTTTTAAATTTTAAGTGCATTGGTGTTGTGTCTGCATGTATGTCTGTGTGAGGGTGTCCTGTCCCCTGGAACTGGAGTTACAGACAGTTGGGAGTGCCGTGTGGGTGCTGGGAATTGAACCCCAGGTCCTCTGGAAGAGCATTTGGTCGTACCCCTAACCACTAAGCCATCTCTCTAGGCCCCATACTTTGATCTTATCTCCCTTTTCTTTCCTACTTTCTCTTGCCTTTCCTTTTCCCCCCTCTTTAATTCTAGGATATTAATAAGAATAAATAGAAATTCTTAAAATTAATTAGGAAAATTTCGTATAACACAAAAGCCTAGAGATGGGTTAGGTCAGTAAAGTATTTGTCAGGTATACGTAAGGACCTGTGTTCCAGTTCTTAGTCCTCTTGTAGAAAGTTGAACACAGCAGTGAGCACATGTTGTCTCAGCACTAGGAGGGAAAAACAGGAGGCTTCTTGGGTCTTGCTGGGTGGCCAGCCTAGTCATAAACCAAAAAAATAGAGAAACTCCCAGTTCAGTGGGAGATCCTGCCTCAAGGGTCAAGGCAGAGTTTGATGGAGCAGAACACTTATCGTCCTCTGGACTCTCCATGCACATACACACAAGAAATATACCTTAGATATTTTAGCAGTTAGGTCCTTGAAGGTAAAGAGAGACTCCAAGGAGAATTAGCACTGAAACAAGGACAGAGAGGTTTGGAAGTAAAATGTATATGTGATACTTTGGAAAAATGATAAACAGACTTGAGGGGAAAGAGTTTGTGTGTACGTTATAAAGTCATAGATGGTTAGATTAGAAGGTAAATTTAGATTAAAAATAAGAAGACTTGGAATTTTTTTTACAAGTGATATTAGGGGAAATTTGGAAAATGTTCAGTGGGACTATGACTTAGGTAAGGAAACAGAAAGTTATAAGGATACAGAGGAAGTCTAAGAGCAGTGAGACCTGGACCAGGGTAATAGCACTGGGAATAGAAGATGCCAAAGCAGCAGAGTGCACCCTTCTTCCTTACTGGGTTTATGTTTGGATACACTTACTTATTCCACCAGCCAGTCAACAAGTGCATCAAATGTCCAAGGTCTGGCAAAGCCATGCTGACAGAATACTAGAAGTCCTGGTGTCTGCATATCAGCGTTGTTAGTTGAATAAATGAATGTGTAGTTGAGGAGGGATAAGCAGAAGTAATACTTTGAGTCTAGATGACGAATGATAAATTTTTGAAAGATTTTCAGTTCTTTCTTACCTGATAATGTGAGCCTCTTTGTATACAGTGGTCTGGTGACAATTAAGTTAAAGAGGCAAACATTGTACATGTTCCCCTTTCCTTTTACACATTTTTAGGTCACATTGGACATTCTTAAAATTTGATATTTCTGCTTGGTTTCTATTTAGAGAAATGAAAAAGAAAAAGCTTCCAAGTGACTCAGGGGATGTGGAAGTGATAGACGGGAAGGACAAAGAAAAGGAAAATGCTGTGCACACTGAAGCTTACCAGACCAGCAGCAAAAGTGCCGCAGCTGGGCAGCCGATGAAGAGAGGACAGAAGGTAAGAAGAGTGTGCCTGAAGGGTCCGTTAGCTCCGTGGGGCTCGCAGCTGAGTGAGGACCCAGGTCCAGTTCCAGCACTTGGAACTCTCTGTCACTCCAGTTCCTGGAGCTCCAACCCCCTTTGCCGGCCTCTGTGGGGCACCAGGCATGCAAGTGGTACACAGACACACATGCAGGTAGAACGCCCTATCCATACAATAACTCTAAGTTTTTTTTTGTTTTTTTTTTTTTTTTGGTTTTTCGAGACAGGGTTTCTCTGTGTAGCTTTGCGCCTTTCCTGGAACTCACTTGGTAGCCCAGGCTGGCCTCGAACTCACAGAGATCCGCCTGCCTCTGCCTCCCAAGTGCTGGGATTAAAGGCGTGCGCCACCACCGCCCGGCTTAGTTTTTTTTAATTCTGAGGCTGAAAGCTGGAAAGGTAAGACTGGACCTGATGAAGGTGTCCCGGGAAAGAGCTTCTACTAACACATACCAACTTCCTGATGTTAAACATAGCCGAGAAATCATGAGTACTAGTTTCAGCACGGAGGCTGAAACGGTAGAGAACACCTTCCTTCGTTGTTGCTGCACTGGGATTTGAAAGTTGGACAAGGCAGTAATTGTGATGTGGATGTCATGTTCTCACGGTGGCAGGACCATCCCAAGGGGCATCATTTGCTTCAGACAGTGGGAAACAGGAAACAGGAGATCCACGTTCTGACAAGAGGGCTGCAGTGTGTGTCACTCACAACCTCAGTCAGCTGTGGAGTCACTTAGAGGAGCCGGCTCAGTTCTGGCCCTCTACCTACTCAGGGATCCAGTGGACCTCTTACACCGTTCTTGCAGAGGAGCCAAGAAGGAAGGCTCGTAGACAGGGGGAGAGGGGCACTGTATTGAAGATAAGTTGTGCTGATTTACCCTTGCTTGTATATATGTCTGCTGTGTCATTGTGGCAGATTCCATAAGGGACGAGGGCTATGGTATACTCATCTTCCTGTCCTCCATATTGATTGTTCTTTACATGGTTGGTGCCTTGTTCAAAAGCTATTTGATAGAACGAAGGAGGCATTTTAAAAAATATTGTTTATTGCTCTTTTTCCCAAATCTTGATTTCAGAGTAAAATGAAAAAAATGAAGGAAAAATACAAAGACCAGGATGAAGAAGATCGTGAACTTATTATGAAATTGCTAGCAGTGAGTAACATCTTAAATCATTTCTCTTGGTTTTCATTGGGCATCTAGGCATCTATGATAAGCATTCAAAACTTAACAATATTGGGCCAGTGAGGTGGCTCAGTGGGTAAAGGCACTGGTCACCAAGATTGGCAGCCTGAGTTCAGCTCCTAGAACCCACATGTTCAAAGGCGAAAACTAACTCCTCCGTGTTGTCCTCTGAACTCTATGTGTATATTATGACATGGACACCTACACTCATAAACATACACAAGAATGTAAGGAAAAAGAAAAACTTAGATTCAAAACATTAAAATGATTTAAAAACCTTAGTAATAATTACATGGATTTTCCCCTTATGAATTGAAAGTCTGCAGGTTCAAACAAAGAAGAAAAGGGGAAGAAAGGAAAGAAAGGAAAAACGAAAGATGAACCTGTGAAGAAACAGCCACAGAAACCCACAGGTAGACCGCAGCGGGCTTTAGATGTTGTTCAGAAGGAACCTCCATCCCTTCAAGTTGTAACTCATGACTTACAAGACTTAGCTGTAGATGATCCTCAAGATGACAAGGTAAGTGTTCCCAAGTGGGGTGACCACAACCTGGGGCTGACAAGGTTAGTCTTCATCTTAGAAACAAAGCCTCAGAGACTAAAATCAGTTTCATAAAAATGTGCAGCCAATAAATTGATTAGAAACCTTTGGGAAGTTAGTTTGGAGCTGGGAAGATGGCATTTTATAAAATGCTTGCCACAGGGCCTTGGTTGTAGCCTCAGAACTAGGTGTAGTTTATGTGCTTAGGATCCCCACACTTGGGAGGCTGTTGGCCAGGGAGCAGAGACCACTAAGCAGGCTCCAGGCCAATGAAAGATCTGATTTTACAGTAGATGGTGTTCCTGATGACATCCAAGATTGCCCTCTGACCTCCCCAGAGGACACAAGTGTACATTCACATAGCACACACAAAATAACAGTTTTATGGGAGAGGTTTCACATGATTCCAGTGGAACTCAGTGAAAATAAGAGGAAATATTGGGCTTATCTTGAGAAGAAAATAAGCTTCTACTTTCAAGCTTTTCTATAAGATTATAAGCTTTATCATGTTATATTAAAATAACTATGTTATCAGGGGTTAGGTCTCAGTCATAGAAGCAGGAAGAACATTTTTTCCAGCTAAGGTAGTTACTTAATTGCTTAATCAAATAAATCATTTAAAAGACACAGTTAAGTATATCTTTATGTATGAATAGATAACATTCTTGAAATGCTGAGCTTTTAAAAATACATCTATATAAAGTACAGACTGAGGTTTGTCACGTGTGATGATCATTGTGATCTGGACTCAGTCAGCTGTTTTTAGTTGGGTTGCACTGTTTTTAGTTAAAGTGAGTTACACCTTCACTAGTGAGACGTTTATAGGTATTTCTTGTCAGTAGTCTTTTTCCCTCTACTAGACAGTGTTGTTATTGGTTCTAAATTTCATTTTGGTTCGCACGTTTTTATGCTATTACCCTATTTGTAATTTTATCTATAAACTTTAGGCTCAAAAATATCCATGCCAGATATGGTGGCATATAGCTAGAATCCCGGCACTTCAGAAGCCGAAGCAGAAGGAAGGGGCCAGCTTAGATGAGTAGCAGGTCATGCAGAGGGGAAATCCCTAAGAGGTATCATTAATCTTCTTTCATGGGTGTGGATTATGGTCTAAATGCCAGTGTGGTAATATTAACAAGTGGAGGTTTAGGGGCCTGGCAGTAGAGGCACACATCTTTAATCCCAGCACTCGGGAGGCAGAGGCAGGTGGATCTCTGTGAGTTTGAGGCCAGCCTGGTCTACAGAGTGAGATCCAGGACAGGCACCAAAGCTACATAGAGGAACCCTGTCTGGAAAAACCGGAAAAAAAAAAAAAAAAGAAGTGGAGCTTTTAGAAAGGGAAGTAATGCCCTTATGAGGTTGAAGGGACCCTGTCAAATGAAGACCTGGCCATCAGATGCCAGTTTTTGTTGTTACTGTTTGAAGGGTCTCATGTAGCTGGGTGGCGGTGGCGGTGGTACACACCTTTAATCCCACCACTCAGGAAGCAAAGGAAGGTATATCTCTGTGAGTTTGAGGCCAGCGTGGTCTTCAGAGTGAGTTCCAGGACAGCCAGGGCCACACAGAGAAACTGTCTCAAAAACAAACAAACAAAACCAAAATAAATAAAGTCTCATGCAGCACAGACAGACTGTTCCTAAACTTGCTGTTGCTGAGAAAACTCCTCATGCCTGGACCTTTTAAGGGCAGGGGTTACAAGTGTGTCCTACCATACTCTACTAAGGTACCATTTCAAGGCAAGTCTTCACAAAATATGCTGTCCTGATCTTGAACTTTTAGCCTACAGAACTGTTAGATGTAAATTTATTTTTTTAAAAAATTGTGCACTCTGAAGTCTCTTGTTATAGCAGCCTAAACAGACTGAGACTAGTTTGTCTCCAAATAGGTATTGTCCACATAACTTAAATATACAAAACTAAACTTATCTCAATATTGTTGGCAAACATTTTTTTGAAGTTCTTTTTGTAAGATTATTTTCTCTGCAAATATTGAACTTAGTTCTTACTTCAGGTTGTTTCTACAACTTAACACAACTTCAGCATATACTTTAAAAGATTTTGTCACAGTGATAAAAAAAAACCTTATTTTTCTCTTTCAATGGCAATGCTTTCTAAAGTATTAAATACGTACACACTGATCCACTTTAGAGTTTTAGGGGACCTAAGTTGTATTCTACAATTTCCTACTTTATGAGTTATACAACAGCCTTATTATGTCAATTTCTTTCTGCTTTTTGTCTTATTGGTACAAAATTTCATATCTGACTTTAATCTTTTTTATGTTTGGAACTAGGAAGAGCATGATCTGGATCAGCAAGGAAATGAGGTATGATTTGAGTGGGGGTTTCTGTCCAGCTCACTGTAATCTCTGCCGGAATAGCTGATAGTATTCAAAACTGAAAAGTAAAGACAGCTGCAGGAACTGTGCAGATCTCAAGCTGTTCTTGTATTTGTTGTTGGACAGCGTCTCAGCATGTAGCTCTGGCTGGCCTGGAACTTGCTTTGTGTTGTTGAAATATCTTGAACTCAAGAGATCCGCCTGCCTCTGCCGCCTCGGAGCTGGGATTAAAGGTGTGTACTACCGTACCTAGCCTGAAAATATTCTTTATCCCTCCCCTTCCTTTGTGCCTCTGCATTATTATTATTATTATTATTATTATTGGGATAATAATCACTTTTTAAAGTATTCTGTAAATTACTTTAAAAGTTCAGCACCAAGCATTTTGCCCTTGTAGATAGTCTACAAATGAGAACTAGTTTAAGGAGTTCTGCAAGTTCTCCTTAAGAACAGAGGAGGCTCAGCAGTTAATAACACTGGCTGCCCTTCCAGAGGACCCAAGTTCAGTTCCCAGCCTCTGCATGGGGCCACTCCAAACCACCTGAAGCTTTAACTGTAGGAGATTTGATGTCCTCTTCTGGTCTCCATGGGTGCACACAAGTACACACACACAATACAATCTCTCTGACACATAAATACACACACACATACATTAAAAAGAGAGAAAGTAGCCTAGGCTTTCTCAACTTGAGCACTGCTAACATTTTGGAAAGTATGATCCTTGTTGTCAGGCCTGTATAACGTATTATAAATTGATTACCCTTAGCCTAACCTGTTAGATGCCAATCCTTTCATTCTGAAAACCAAAACTGTCTAGATATTGGTGAGTCTCCTGTAGCAGGGGCAAAATCCCCAGTCCAGAATCATTGGTCTAGCCTTGGTAGCACACGCCTTTAATCCCAGTACTGGGGGGACAGAGGTAGGTAGATCTCTGTGAGTTTTATGTCAGCCTGGTCTACAATAATGAGTGCTAGGACAGCCAGAGGCTGCCCAGCATGAGACTGTTTTGTCTCATGAGATAGCTCAGTCTGTAAAGTGGTCGCCATGCACACGAGCACCTGAATTCAGTCCCTAGCACCCACATGAAAAGCCAGGCAAGGCAGCATGCACCTGTAATCCTGGCACTAAGGAAGTGGAAACAAAAGGCTCTCTGGAACTTCCTGACCAACTAGGCTTGCCCAATTTGTGAGCTCTGAGCTCAGTAAAAATTAATTAAGTTGGAGATTAATAGAGGCTTCTACACAGGACAAAGAAAAATCACTGGTCTGGCCCACGTCTAAGTCCTGTTTCCTTGCAGTTAGTTCTTAGTGTGCATCTTTTGAATCCACAATAGCTTCCCTCCCTGAAGCTTAGTTGCAGTGTCCAACTTGTCTTCCTGCCTCTCTCGAAGTCATCAAATGGTGGTTTGACAACTGTCCCATTGTTGACTATCACAGGCCAAAGTTGTAAAGAATATATATATATTGGAACATTACTCTTCAGTTCTTTGGAACTATAAAGCAGAGTCTGGGCACTGCTGTCAGTCTGTCCGAAAAGCTAAATCTGTAGTATACATTTAGATGCTCATTTGCTGTATTTATGATGGTGTGATATGAGAGGGTCTGGTCTGCACAGTGGGCAAGGGCTCTGCTACTCAACACCTACTGTTCTTTTTCAAAGTTTGGCATAAATTCCTTTTATAATTGTTTTTATTTTCCTCTTTAGGAAAATCTGTTTGATTCTTTGACAGGGCAGCCACATCCTGAAGACATATTAATGTTTGCTATTCCAATATGTGCCCCTTATACCACCATGACAAATTATAAGTAAGTCACCATTACTTCACTCATGATAGTTGCCACAATGCCTTTATGAGAAATCTCTTTACGATCTCCGTGTAGTAACTCATACAGTTTTTTTTTTTTTTTCTTTTAAGATACAAAGTGAAACTTACTCCTGGAGTTCAGAAAAAGGGGAAAGGTAACTTAGGATTTTAGTTGTCATTTTAAAATAGTTTAAGTGACTGAACCAGAAGTACATTCTTCAGCTCTCTATTTACAGCTGCAAAAACGGCCTTGAATAGTTTCATGCATTCCAAAGAAGCAACAGCAAGAGAAAAAGACTTATTCCGCAGTGTGAAGGTAAAGTTTTCCTTCAAAACTCTGGTGACTGGTGGTGTGGCCAAGGTCGTTTCTATTGTCTTAATAAAGTGCTGTGTTACTAGGAACCATAAGTACAGTCAGCTCAGCAAAGTTATGAACGCCTTTCTTCTGACAGTAGAGTATACATAATTATACTAAACATGATTTACTACTTGGGATATTAAGCACTTTTCCTTTTTCAGGACACAGATTTATCAAGAAACATTCCTGGCAAAGTGAAAGTCTCTGCACCTAATCTTCTTCATGTAAAAAGAAAATAGCCAAAATGAAATCCTGAAACACTGTGAAGAGCCAGTTTTATAGCCTTGGAAGTTCAAGGATGCAGACATGTTAACAGGACTTCCACATTTACAAATTGCCTTGCTATATCACCAAAAGGACTTAAGAGTTTTTTTCAAGTTTTATATATATATGTGTATATATATATATATAAACTATTACAATAGTATTTCCTAAACTATTTGTGAAAAGTTCAGTGATACACATCTGTAATTGTTCTACATTTTATTGAAATTCTTGAGGTTTCATTTAATGATGTAAAGACCTGACGTGGCTCAGCTGCATTAACTACTGACCAGAGGTTTACTGTATCTAATATCTAATACACACATATTACAACCAATCATGAGGGGTTTGTTTGGTTTTCTGGGGGCAATTAAACATTCAGGGATTGTGTCTTGAAAATTTTATCAAGTTTTCCATCAAATGCAAAAAATAACACCTAGAGGAAAAAGACAATTGTTTCCGTGTGTTCATATACATCCCCTTCCACCCTAATTTCTTCTGTGGAATGTTGTTCAGTTGTGTGCCAGGTTCTTTTGCATCCCTAGCAGCCATCAAGTAGTGTCCTAACCTGTAACTTCAGAAGTGCACTTTTTAGGCTTAGCACTAAAGATTCCTGGCCCAGATTTCTCTCTCCTACCAGAACAGAGAATCAAGCCATTCGTTTTATCTCTGTTCCTTCGTGAGGTACAAACTGCCACTTTAATGAACTGGACAGTAAACATGACCGCCTGTTCCAGGATCACACCAATACATTAAGGTTGAAGTACTAAATTAATTGTAGCTTGGGCTGTATAAGACTTTCACTCTCTGCCCCCACCACCAACACACCCAGGTGTGATAGCATGCTTTTAATCCTAGCACTTGAGAGCTGGGGGCTGGAGTATTAATGATTCAAGACCAGGTTACATAAGTGAAAGACTAAAAATGTAGCATTTTCTACATTACATCCAAATTATCAAAAGATAAATGTATATTATACCTATTCTTGGTATATAAAAAGCCAATGCAGTGGGTTTTTTTTTTTTAACTTTAACAATGGACAAGTACTGGTGTTAAATACATTTATTGTAAACTTTAGACACAAAAATAGGTTCTCTAGGCCATTCACATGCACATAAAACCCAGAAAGCTGCAAACTACAACAATGAATATAATTATACAATGGATGCCACTCTGTGACAAATACAGGGTTGTTTTCCATGCAAGCAGATCAGACTTATTATCTGTGAAGCCTTATGACCCAGAAGTGTTGTTACTGCCGAACCTCTGATTAACACTGTGAAGGAGGTGTTTTGGAAGGCAGCTCCATGAGTTGGCTAGCATTTCTTTAAAGCAAATGACTGCTTCAAGGCTTAGCCTAAAAGTGGACAAGGAAAGAGAAAAATAATTTTACATTAACTTGAATGAAGATTCATTATTGCCTTTAAATAACCATCTACCTGGTACCAAGTACCTGGTAAGAACTTACCGTACAAGAGATTTTGGTTGAACTGAAAATATAAGTACTTCATTACTGTGTGCCTGGAAAAAAGGAAGAGTGTGTTAAAATGCAAGTGCTGAAAGTAGGCTGGTGTGGTACACTCCTGTGAGCCCAGCTCTCGGAGGCAAAGACAGGACTGCAGCAGCTCTGAGCCCAGCTAGTGCAGGAGCTGTACCCAGAGCTGGCTTAATAGATACTACAGCTCGGTGCTGAAGTGCTACTTAGCATTTAGTCCTTGTGTTCAGAAAAGGAGGGTCTGAGAAAGAGATGGCTCAGTTGTCTGCTCTTTCAGAGGACCTGAGTTCAGTTGCCAGTACCAACATGGGGCTGCTGTTCACAACCACAACCACCTGCAACCCAGCTCTAGGGGGATGTAATACCCTCTTCTGGTCTCCATGAGAACTGCATGCATATGGCACATAGACATACATGCAGGCAAAACAACCATCACACTTTTTTTTTTAAAAAGTAACAAACAGCCATGCAGTTGTGGTGCACACTTTTATTCCCAGCACTCAGGAGGCAGAAGCAGATGGATCTCTTGAGTTCAAGGCCAGCCTGGTCTACAGAGAGGAGTTCCTGGTCTACAGAGAGGGCTACACAGAGAAACCCTGTCTGGAAAAGTCATAAATAAATAAGCCCAGCAAGGTTCATCTGCTAAAGGCTCTTGTCACCTTGGATGACAACCTGAGTTGGATTCCCAAGACCCACATCATGTTAGGGCAGCATTAACTACAAGTATTGTCCTCCTCCCATGGCACATATGCACATGTGCCTGCACACACAAACATGATATATTCCCATAAATACGTGCAGTGAAATGTACTTACAGCTCTATGGTGGACCAGCAGATTGTTTGCACAACCACCAAAAACAATGACTTCTCCTTCATCGCTTGCACAAGCTGTATGCCATAACCTGCACATAAAACAAAGTTTGAGCCAGGCGGTGGTGGCACACATCTTTAATCCCAACTCTTGGGAGGCAGAGGCAGGTGGATCTCTGAGTTCAAGACCAGCCTGGTCTGCAGAGTGAGTTCTAGGATAGTCAGGGCTACACTTAAGAAACCTTGTCTCTGAAAAA